GGAACAATATACTTAGAGACTCCGTTGGTCTTTCAGGCTAGACAGAGACTCTATTAGACTCTCAGAACAGAGAGATGCTTTGGACTGTGAACTGTTAATTAGAAGAAAGAAGCCCTGTGTTACCTACACAGAGATACTACTTCAGATCCTATTTGTAACTGGATTGATAAGCAAAGTACCTGTATGCTGAAGTTTATGAGTAAACCAACTATGTTACTTTTAAATAAGTGTGCTTGTTTTTATCTCTTGAGAGAATGACTTAAAGGCAAGTACGAGTAGATGTTTTTGGGCAACTAAAAAGAACACTTCTGAAACTCTGCTGGTCATACCACACACACATACTTGTGCATTGGCATATCTTTGTCCCTAACAGTTCAAAGACAGCTGAGAAACCTAGTTGCCTTGCATGAATGCTTGTAAATGCCATTTTCCCAAAAAGGTGATGGTATCATTTTCAAAAGTTTGTGACTTTTAACAAGGTCATGCCTTTCCAAAGATCATAAAATCTCCAAAAGGTTATGGACATTTCCATTTTCCAAAAATGAATGCATAACACCAATGCCATTATGCATTATGGTATTCGTTTTCTATTTTCTTTTGTAATTGAAAGAGTCAGGTTTAAAATCTGATTCATTTTATTAAAATGAAGGAGACCTAGAGGTTATGATCTCTGGTTTAGATCTGATTGATCCTAAATGGTCTTTTAAAAGATACTTTAAACTACATTTACATATTCAAAATAAATAATTAAAATGCAAACACTAAAAGGTACAATCCAGTCAAACCTAAGCACTCTTTGAAAAGCAACTTCATGGAAGAGTTACTTGTTTACTGCATTTAAGGGACCTTTGTTGCATTTCAATGTTCTAATCATACAAGGCATGATAACGTGATCATCCATATTAAATATTTTCCATCATCACTTATTCAGAACTAGTTCTGATGTAACATTTACATCAACAAAATACCCTTTAAAATGATTCCTGTGGATGGATACACATCAAAGCATTTGATGGAATGACTCATCCATGCAGTTTGTTACAAGGATAAATCCCCAGAGCTGGACATATCAGAAATTCTTTAGCTGATTGCAACATGCCTTCTGTACAACAAAATATCCCCATTGGTGTTTAGTAGTGCATTTGCACAGCCAAGACTAATATGCCAGCTATGCCTATTCCTAGAGAAATCAAGATACATGTCATAATTATGTTCCATTTAGATTACAGTAATGTGCTCTATGGGAGTCTGCATGAAAGAGTGGTTTGAGTGTTGGATTCGGACTCTGGAGACCAAGGTCCAAATCTTCATTCGGCAATGGAATCACACTCCCTCAGTCTTAGAGGACAGCAATGACAAGAAACCTTGCCAAGAAAACCCCATGATTGGGTTGTCTTAGGGTCACCAACGACCTGAACGCATACAACAAATGTGCTTTAAATGGATCTACTTTTGGAAATTTCAAAATCTTCAGCAGGTCCAGAAAGCTTGGGCTGCTGGTTAGGGGAAATTATGCCTTTGCCGTTACACAGTGGTTCTCAACCTGTGGGTCCCCAGGTGTTTTGGCCTACAACTTCCAGAAATCCCAGCCAATTCACCAGCTGTTAGGATTTCTGGGAGTTGAAGGCCAAAACATCTGGGGACCCACAGGTTGAGAACCCCTGTTACAAGGTCATTTGCAGTCACTTTTTGAAGTGCTTATTAGGACCTGTTAAGCATGATGGTTCAAGCTATCTGAAAGACTATTTCTCCCTATACAAAACTGATGTGAGTCTTAGGAGTGTCAGGACAGACTTTCCTTTGTGCCCATCACTATCACCGGCCTGTCTTCTGAGGACCTAGCACAGGGACTTCTCAGAGGCTGCTCCCACATTGAGCCATTTCTCTTCACAGGGCTCTGGGCTGCCTGCCTCAATGTTTTTTCACTGATAAGCAAAGACACTGTTATTTAAATAGGCATTTGAAGAACAATGGTTTATAGGAGTCTTTTGATGCATGCTTTCTTTACCTTTATTATGCTTTGAGAGTAATTTTCCAAACTAATTGTGTTTTTAGTAAGATTGTTTATTTGTGTTTTGCCTCTTTTTTGTTTGTTGTACACCATGTCTTTATATCTTGTTTTGCTCTAAGATGGCATGGATTTCATGTCAGGAAAAATAAAATAATGCATTAAAATCTGACCACATATATAAAGTGTGTACTCATCCTGTGAACAAAGTGGAAGAAATATTTATTTCATTGGTTGAAAATCAAGTTTTGAGTATTCTTTCCCTTTTTATATTTTATTATAACTAAAGCCATTAGGGAGTTCTCTGGCATCTTAAAGGCCAAAAATGTTTAAACTGCAACTCCACTTTATTGGATGTATGGAGTTCTACTCAAGTGGACTGGAGCTTCAGAAAGCTTGTGCCAAACAAAACTAGTTAGTCCCAAAGATAAATAATAAATTTATAATAAATAAATAAATAAATAAAGATGCCACAACACTTTATGTTGTTTTTGCAGCAGCAGACTTACATAGCTGCTTCCTATTCTCAGAATTAGTGTAACCAAAACCAAAATCCAAAACAAAACAAACAGGGATGCAGCAATGAAGAATGCTCCTCTTCTCATCAAAGATCACCTCCAATTTTCAGCATCTCCATATGGGTTTATCACGAAAGTAAACTAGCTGCTACTTGGACAGGGGTAATAGGGCCAAAACCTTCTCCCATCACCAGCTCATGATCACTTATGGCAAAATCCCCCCTGCTCCGCTTGTACCTTTCAATATTTCTCCTCTGTTCAAAGGCAACATGGTAACACATACTAAGGCTTCATATGAAAAGATTTCTGAAAAGAACAGTCTGTCAGCTGTCCCATCTATGGATGTTGTCAGAGATATCCTCTCTCACACACACACACACCACGCACACACTATGAGCTTTCTGAAATTGAAGGACAGGAGGGTTTTTCTCAATATGCTTGGGACTGGCACTTTACTTGTATCTACTGACTATACCTGTTCCTTTCTTTTCCTGGAAATGTCAGAGTGATTGGCACCAGTCCATGGGCCACCCCTCTGAACAGTGCATAGGTTTATTTTCTCCTGTATACGTGGTTACAATCATTCAGACTTGGGCAGCTGAGGGTGGAGTGCTTTACTTGGGAAGCAACACTAAAGCATAAGGACAATCACAAGTATCCTCAAAACATGTGTATGAGTGACCAGGCTTACTTAAGGAACAGCAACAGGGCACTTTTACTATAGTACAATGAACTCGTGGTCCCGGCATTGGATTTCACCAGAAAACTGTAGGTTATAGTTTGGATTGCTATGAAAAGATACCATCAATAAGATCATAGACAGAAATACAAATGAAAAACAATTACAGCATTAGGAAGAATCAATTTATAGACCAATTCCCCTTGAAAACTGCAGAAGGAAAAATAAAATTGCACCCGTGAGCTCTTACATTTGCAATTCAGAAGGCAATTTCTTTCTTGCTGCTGTATAACTCAAATTGCTCGTCCAACTACCATCTCTGTCTCTCGTTCAGTCTTCAGTGAATTGAAAACAATATATAGGAACAAATAAACACTTCTGTAAGCACTGTTTGTACTGTTCGTTCTTGGCACCATTCAGCTATCCAGTTATGGTGTCCACTTCTGCAGCAGAGCACTGGATTCTTTAAAATACATCAACTAAAGAAAATCACTTAGGTGACATAATTCAGGGCTGTTTTTGCCGTCAAAGCAGCAGCATTTTTGCATATACCTCCAAAAAAAATTATATAAAAGGTAATTTGAGTTAATATAAGATATAATGTAGACATGTTGCCCGTTTTGTGATTTGAACTCTTCAGGATGGAATGGATAAATCCTTACCCGCTTAAATGCTCCTTCCCCAAAATTGCTATCTGTGGAACAGCAGGCATAAAATGTAGAAAAAAAGGACCTATAAACTTTGTGCCTAGCAGCAGCTCTAGAAGAATAATACTGGATTGGAGCTGTGGCGTGAAGGTAATACTTCCCTCCCCACTTGCAGCCTTTATTCCAATCATCCCTCTTCCTTCCTCATGACTTCCTTCCTTTCTAGGCAGTGTAACAATGACACTCCTACAAGACACCTGGTTTTGTTATACAGTTATTCTGTAAAAAAAATCTTTTCTTGGTTTTTAAGTAGATTAGGAAAAATATTATTAAAAAATTCCATTCCAATGTGCTACAGATCTATTTTTGTCTTGCTGCAACTGCAGACTAGCCAAACAGTAAAGTTCCTTTAATGCAAAACTCACTTGCTAGCAACAACAGTTTTCACTAGATACATAAGAGAGGCTTTTCCTGCTGACTGCAATATGGAAGCAAAAGGCAAAGTATCTTTTCTATACTGTGATTTACACTATCGCATTTTAAGTTTATGTGACCCTGATGAAATCCCTCTGAAACTTGACTTCTTTGTGAAACAGACCAAGCCATTCTTCAGCATTTGCATGCACAAACTGTTTGCCTACAAGAGTATCCCCTCTAAAGGAGGTCAAGTTTACTCCTAGAATGCAAGCAGACTAAATTTCCAGCCTTTGAGCCCTCCAGAGTTTAGTCTATTTTTTTTATCTCCTTACCAAAATGGTACAATATGATATATTGCACAAACCCTGAACTCCTTAATGTAAAAATAAAAAAATCTTGTTTTTCAATGCCAGAATTTGTGTGTATTTTGCAACTTGTCTGTCAAGATCCACAGAGTGCCTTCTATTAATGCAGGACAGAAAGTAGGTGAGAGCCACTTGTATACTACATGTGTCATGCAACTTAATTTACCTTGCAGCTTTCCATTTGAAAGGTCAAAGATCGTCTAATTCAAATCTGTTCTAAAGATGTGGATCCATAACAAGGAAGAGCAGAGTACCAGAAATTATCAGCAACAACAGACATGTGGGCTACCTAGTCACTGCTGTTCCGACTATGATGAAATGTATTGTTTGTATCTAAACTACAGTAATAATTTCTAATCATACAAATTAATTGGCATATGTAAATTTTATGCAACCTGGAACAAGATCCAATATATTTTAGAACTGTATAAATATACTCCTGAGCAGTTAGACTGGACTCCATAACTGGGCACCTCACTGTGCAAGAGGGGCTAAGGCAATAACTTCACATCTTTCACATCAATTAGCTCCCCAATTACCAAGTCAAATGAGAGTAAGCAATCGAGAAGGTTCAATGTTGGCTTGTGGAATGACTGACTGCAATAGGAGCTGTGCTTAGGCAATCTATGAGAAAGTGCAAACACAGGCACAACTATTTTAATGCTACATTAGCTCCCTAAAACTTTCAGGCAAGCCTCTTTGGGTCTTTTTGGCAATGTGGAAGCTGTAATCTTAATGTGCATTATAGCACATGTTGACTTCATATTACAGATTTAGGATGAGTTTAACATAATCCTTTCAGTGTCTGAAATCTTCCAGGCAGGTCATGTCAGAGATTAAAAAAAAATAATTGTCCAAGACCAAAATAACATCACCCTAGACTCATAATCTAGTTCTTTAAAGGGTTTGTAATAACCATGATTTCTTTGATCGACATTTTTTTAAAATCAGAATATTCCTTCTTTTAATAACATATTCCTTCCTGATCAGCTGTCAATGAATCTCACAAAACAAGTGCTACAAGTGCACAAAACACGTTAGATTCCCAGAATTCTAAACCAACTAAATTATTGTGGAAAAAGGTACAGCAAACTATCATTCTGAAGATTGCCACATTTTGTCAATATAGAAGATTAAAACTGATTCATTTCAACAGAATCTGTTTCAAGTTCCCGTTCCATGGGTCTTGAAAATGAAAATGCAGGAAAAGCTACATATATTTACAATAAATTAATCTTAAGAAAATAAAATCTTTATAAAATCGTTATAATTGCTTCCTGAGCAAATATGTACAGTACACCACAAAATCCCAGTGTTAGATTCTTTATAGATTTCATGTGCAACATTTTCTGATGGTTTTACCCTATAGCTCCAAAATCTGTTATATGGCCAACAGACTGAGGAAAAGAGGATTTCACCAATTCCTATTGAAATTTTCATCCTTCATCGCTTTCACCAGCCAGTCCCTTTCCTTATCGTCATCCTCTTTGTCATCAGAGTCACTCATGTCACTAGAGTCTGCAGCTAGGAGACGGGAATAATTAATTCTTTTCTGACGTGGTAACCTGGACTGGACGATCAAGAACAAGACCAGCCAGAGTACTAAGGCAATGGAGCATGCCCTGTAGAGAACTGGTAGGCCAAAGCTGTTCACAACAAACCCCCCTGCAAAGCTGCCCAGGCTGGCCCCACATCCGCAAGAAAGGCCCTGCAGAACCAAATGCAGAGACCGCTCTGTACCAGGAGTGGCAATGTCATTCGCCAGCATGTTCACAGCCCACCACAAGGCGCCATTGCTGAAGGCACAGAGGAGCTGGATAGGTAGCACGGCCCAAGGACTCCACAGGAATGAATAGTAGAGTAGCTGAGCTGCCAGGCAGCTCAAGCTCAAGGCCACTGTTCCGCTACCTGAAAGAGCCCTCAGCAACTTGCTTTTGAAGATGTTGAGGAAGATCTCAGCAACCAGTCCTATGGCAATTGAGAGGCCCATGTATAACTCATTGCTGCCTTGGTCTTGCATTTGCCAAAAAAGGAAGTTCTGCACAGTTGACCCAATGGCTCCTGTGAGGAAGACAGTGACAGCAGACAGGATGGTCCGGCCATCGTTCCCAATGAGGTTCAATGCTTTGAAGGTTTTATTGACATGTTCTGTTTTCTTGGACACATAAATGGGAAAGAAGACACTCACAAGTAAAGCTAACGTTATCAAACAGGCATAGCCATAAAAATGTACTGCAAAACGTGGGGTGGTTGTGATCACAAAGCAACTCAGCTGATCCACGAATACTGCGATGCTGCAGACTCCTAAAAAGGCACCTGAGTAACTCCAGATCCAAAGATTTCCATATTTGTCTGCCGCATCCACAAAGTCAAGATACTCAAAGAGGCTGTCATCGACCATCCATCCAAGAGGGGCAGCCAGGAGCTCCCAAAGGACAACTGTACCTAGCACCATAAGAAAGACTTGATGCTCACCATCCAAGAAGATAGGACCTTGCAACACATCAGAGTTCCCATTCTGCGCTCTTTCCCAGCGTCCTGACAGGTTTTTCAACACATATGGTGTCTCTGTGAGGCGTACCTGGGCTGTTCGAAATGTGGAGTTAGCATTTTCCTCTGAAGAATAATTTCCCATAGGATTCTTTGTTATATTCATGGTGCCAGTATTTGGGCTTCTGTTTGTCTTCATTGGCTCACTCAAAGTAGATGCCTCTAATATTTGTTCTATCGGATCAGTTTTGTTCTTAGAAGTAACTAATGTCACACCAAAAGGCCCATCAGTGAATTGATGTGTCTCTGTATCAGCACCACTGACTCCACTGTTGATCATAGAAGGGATATTTGCAGAGGAATGAATATTGATTGGTGTATATGTTTGTCTTGGTTTGCCAGCAGTCACCAGGTCCTCTGAGATCTTTCCATGTGCTTCCACAGAGGGGGTTTTGTTACTAGAAACTAGCTTAGTATTCACTGTACCTAGGCTGCTTCCATTTATATCAGGCACCTGGGTTGCACTTAACAGCTTACCTGGATGCTGGCTCATATTACAATACGTATAGACAATGTCCATGTTCAATGGTGGGACCAGAGTAAGAAGCAAACCTGCTCCAGCTGAGCCCAGCAATGATCCACTGATGAGTACTTTTCTTTTATTGTGCGTTTTTGCTAGGTAGGAGCATAATGGGGCCCAAAGGGAAGTGATTAAGTGCTTCATTCCTATTACAATCCCTACTAATGGTGCTGTCAGTCCAAGCTGCCGGAAGTACAAAGTCAAAAAGGGAATTGTGCAGGCATTTCCTGCACCATAAAGAAAATGGAACAGGCCAGCAAGAGTTAGTGCTTTGTTCACATCCCACTGGTTATTTGTGCTCATAGCTTCAGGGGCAGGCTTAGCTCCCAATTTTGTCCTGCAAATTAATAAAGAAAGGCTAGTCAATATTGTATAAACAACAGACATGTTAGAAGAAACGTTTTTTTCCTGGCTAAAGCTAAAAATACAATATGAATAATCAAACCAGGACAGCAATGATAGCCTGATGGGAACCAGATTAGTACAGAATTAATCAGAACTGCAAAAGGAACTGAGGAAGACAAACTGGTGGGAAGAGTGGACCTTTGCACCCATGTCATTCTTGGGAATACTGCAGACTTTTGCACCATCTACAGGGACTTAAAAACCTCCATATGCAAGCCATCAAAATGCATACTCGTAAAATGTCCTTATGCAAACTACCATAGTATCCAATGCTTTACCCAACCAGCCAGTATCACAAGGATAAGCTCCCAACAGAACTCTGTATTAGACAGAAGATTTTTTTTAACAGTGTTCATAAAACCTTAGCCTGCAAACTATACTGACCAAGTATTTAGTTATTTACTTGGGACACTTGAATGCCAGAAAACTTACAATAAATAATAAAATACATACAACTATAGCAATGAAACTATGTTAAACCCTGGTCTTCAGAGTTGAAGTTCAGCCCTCAAATCACTACACTATGCTGACTCTTACTTTGGCAGATAATTTTACAGGATCTATTTACTACCAACTGTGTGAAAAATCATGAGTCAAACCAGGAAGTGAACAACACAAAGTTCCTTTTAGTAGTCATTAACAGGAAATTGAACAAGTCTCTCTCTTGTTCAATATGTGTATACATACATACATACATACATACATACACACACGGGCTGACAAGACAGGCAGTCAGTCAGATGCATAATATACATAGCTCTATACAGTAGGTGGGAGCCCAATCCTGGATCTTAACAACTCCAGAGGGTGGACCATTTCATTGTCTCTTTGTATAATTTCAGGAAGTGAGCTTCCACTACTATCATTTTGGCTTTAACATTATTTTTAATTATGATGTTTATTTATACCCCACTTTTTCTCTCTACAAAGGAGACACACTTCAGATCCAACCAAGGAACAATCAGCACTTGTTAGCCAGACTAGAAAGTAAGTCCGGGGTTTCTTAAAAACTGTTTACATTTATTTATTGTTTTAAAGGAAGTACTTCTGGTATTTTGTGAGGTCAAGATACAGTATAAGGTGACATCTACAATTTCTACATTTTGACTGCAAGCATAACATATTAAAACATGGAGAAATCTTTAATGAAGCATTCACAGTACAAATAAGTGGTATTAATTGTAGCTGTCCTTCATGCAGAGCAAAGCTGCTGAAACACTTCAATACCATTAGGCATGATTTCCCTTAGGAAATTTTTGTGTACTTTCGGAAGCAATCTTGGGTTTGTAAAATTTTACTAACAATAGCATTTTAAAATACCTCTAAAATTTCAAAAATATGTTTGATATGGATTTCTAACAAAGTTTTTAAATATATATATCTTAAGTAGAGGGGAGAGACTGTGGACTTTATTTAATCTATCACTGTGTGGGCATATGCCTTGAAATTGCTTGCCAATTTATGACAAATCCATGAATCTCATAAGAATTTTCTAAGACAAGGAAACGACTCAGAGGTGGTTCTGCCATTTCCTTCCTCTGAAACAGAGCCGGCAGCTCTTGATATTCATTGATGGTTCCCCAATCCAAGTAGTAACCAGGGCTGATCCTGCTTAACTTCCAAAACCAACAAGGATCTGGTGCCTTTGGGATAGTTAGGCACACCCCTAGCTGCCATTATGATGTGAATGTTAAGATACAGCTGTTACAGCAAGAAAATTAATAACTATGAGAAAGACATATCTATGATCATGTTTTTCAATGGTCTGTTTTTCAACTTCCTATTAAAAATAATGGGTTGGATGTGATGCAAATACAACAGTACAGACTGAGCATCTCTTTTCAAGAATTCCAAAATATTCAAAAATCCCAAGTTGCCCACTTGTTTAGTTGAGACAGAAAACCTTTTGCTTTCTGATGGCTCCATGCCCAGAAACTTTGTTTTGCTGTCTGTTCAGAAAATTTCAACTCACTTTCTGTCTCTGTGATCACTGGATTTTGGGGGGAAACGGCTTGTTGTGGAAAAAGGAATTGGTGAGACAGCTCCAGTGGAGGCACCTTTACCCTATGATAACTCTCCCAGGCCTCAATTCCCTTTCCTTGGAGTAGATTTCTCTCACTTCCTGTTGACTCACTCCCATTCTTAACTATGAGTAGTTTATAAGTCAGATGTTTGTAAATGCCTGTAAAAAGTTTCCCAAAAGTCGCCATACATAGGGGAAAAGGAAGATTGTAGCTAAATGTACCTTTATTTACAAAATATTCTCTACATGGTTGGAAATCTCTATAGGGTTGGAAGACACCACATGGGCCATCCAGGCCAACCCCCTGCCATGCAGGAAAAGCACAATCAAAGTACCCCCGACAGATGGCCATCCAGCCTCTGTTTAAAAGCCTCCAAGGAAGAGGCTTCCACCACAGAGAAAGTATACAAAGTATCTGAAAGTATACAAAATAAAATATATAGAAATGATACAAATTTATAATAATTTGAGATATATTAAAATATTAAACAAAATATTACAATTATAACACAACATATTTAAATTACAGAATATGAATGTAGTAGTATGGTTGGCTGTCATTCAGGTCCTTGACCCCCGACCTGTGTTCCCACATCCAGGCCAAAGGACTGCTCTGCAGATCAGATTTTTAAAAGTGGGAGCCCTACTGCCTCTAAGGGAGGAGGAGATATTTGCCATTCACATGGGAGACTCGGCAAAAAAGAACTGATGCGTTTCATTTTTTGTTAGCGACTCTTTGGAGGCGGCTTTCCCCAACCAGGGCCTTCTCCCCGCGCGGCTCCGAGGCCTCGCCCTCTCTTCCTTCCCTGGCTGCCAAGGCAAGAGGGGCCTGCTGGCAGCCACAGCCCTCCTCTCCAGCCCTAACGCACCTTGGGGACGTTGCCATGGCAGCACGTGGCGCCGCGCGCCTCTCTCGCGCTGAGCTCTGCAACGAGGCGCACGCGGAGCCTCATCCATCCATCCACTACCTGAGAAGAGGGTGGGGGCAAAGAGAGAGCGGGGAGGAGGGACGGTTTTCAGGCCTCCGCTCGCCGTCAACGGGAGGGGCTCACTGCGCATGCGGGGCGGAGCACCTGTTCGCGGCAACAGAAGGCCGAGTGCCACGTCGGGCCCCGCCCATTTCACCTGCTGAGCCGCTCCTCCCACTTGGGAGAATAGTCCTCTGAATGACGCCGCGCTGGAATGCCTTCCCAAGGGGAGGGGCAGGCTGTTGCTAGGAGACGGAGGGCGGCCTTGGAGAGGAAGGCCTTGCCAGCCCTGCAGCCTGGGAGAGGCTTGGCCTTCCTCTGCAGTCTCTCCTCTATCTTCAGCTATTTTCCACCTGAAGGGTTGATTTAGTAACCCTGTGTCTCCTAGGGTGCACCTACACTGTCGAATGAATAATTTGACAATGTATTAATTACCATGACTCAGTGCTGTAGGGCCAAAGTCCCCTTTCTAATGGGGAGGGCAAGGATGGACACCACGAAAGTTGAATCTTTTAAACTGCAAAAAACTATTTCTTGCGTGGCCATAGCAATAACGACAAACAAGCCTACGGGGATGCAATCAAAGGGTTTGCCGCAATCCCCAATGGGGCTGCAGACTAAATGGAATATACATTTTCATTGGTTCCCAAGGACAAATCATTTCATTGTTCTAAGCTAGCTATACAGTTGTTCATTTATTGTTTATGATTTTGATTGGCATTATAGCACACATGGGATCCTAAAAATGGCACAACTCTAACATAACTATAGTCCATTGTTCTCTCACCATGACTGTATCTTATCTGTTAGTCTGTTGCAAACATGGCTTCAGACCGACTGGGAAACTTGGGGGTTCTAACTAGCCACCAGCTAGCTGGTTTTGTCCGGATGTACTGTTATCCTTGAATAGTAACTTCTTCTTTGGAGCACTGATTTCTCAAACAATCAGCATTTTCTGTAAACATAGGCCTACTGCAGAAATAGGCCAATATGGCAATAAATCATGACATATAGGCATTGGGAACATCTCTGAAAATTCCCTTTTTAAAGCCACGTCCCCTCTAGTGCTATGGGATCATGGAAGTTGTAGTTTTACAAGGTGTTTAGTCTGCTCTGCCTCCCCAAACTAAAACTCCAAGGATTCCATTTAAATGACCCTTTAACTGAACCATGATAATTAAAACAGGGTAAAACTGCATTAATTTGAGAGTGTAGATATACACTCTAAGGTGCACCTACACTAGAATTAATACCTCATTACCTCTGAGGATGCTTGCCATAGATGCAGGCGAAACGTCAGGAGAAAAATTGCCTCCAGAACATGGCCATATAGCCCAGAAAAACCTACAACAACCCATGGATTCCGGCCATGAAAGCCTTTGACAGAATTAATACCGTTTGACCCCACCCTTCCTGCAAGGCTCTGTATCCCAGAATCTTGATCTCAGGTTTTCTGTTTATCCCAAATTTTCTGGTAGTGCCGACTCATATAATCCAGTTTAAAGCAAAAAACTTGGGATCAGATCCTGGAATATAGGACTGCCTGGAAGGGCCCTCCAGCTGCCTTGTGTCAGTGCTCTGGAATCCTGGAAGCTGTAGTTTTACGAGGTCTGCCAAAAAGGGCTGCTGCATCACCAAGCTTTAAAATTACAAATCCCAGGCTCTTATGGCATTTAGCCAGGGCAATTAAAGTAGTGCCAAACGGCATTATTTCCAGTGTCGATGTACCTATAGCCTAGCACAAACAACTCCACTCAGAAGGAATCCATATTCAGTTCAAAAGGGCTTACTTCCTGATAAGTAAGTATCGAACAGCACTGGAAGGCATAGCTCTTTTTGTGTGTTTGAATCAAAAGTAGTTGCCTTACTCCCTGTTCTCCTCAGTATTATTTTGGGAGACGCTGAAAAGTAGGAACTTTTTGTCTTTGTGCCTCTGTGAACTCTGAAGTAAATAATTCTGCTGGGGATTAATATTTTAAAAGCCAGGTTTAGGATCAGCAATGAAATACAAAGACCTTTCTGTTAGAACAGCAGTTCCTTCTTAGCCGCGGTTTATTGTCCAATAGAAGTTGCTTTCATTTTTCAACAACTAAGGCTAAAGGTAGGGGGAATCTATGTGAAATCCTGCAAAGTTATATTTAGTGCATTGCATGATAATTACACAACTTCATTAGTTCTGTTGAAAAAATATGGATTTTCCCTCAGTGGAAGATATCCAGGTGAGGTGTAGATGGGCTCCCAAAACTAGGCTCATTCATACTGTTAATTTACTACCAAGGTATTCTGATGAGAGCCCTTTTGATCAGCCTCTTCTCTCAAATCAACAGACACACATGACTTCTTTTGAAAGCATTTAATGAATTTAAAGTATTCCATCTTCCAACATGTAATGTGCTACCTTTTTTTTTACAAATAATTTATCATTTATTTACAAAATGTACATGATTATTCAGCCAGTACAAAATACAAAGCACTGAGTCACAGAACCATTTGGTTTATAAATATCTACATGCAGCACCAACCTTGAATAACAAATTAAAAGGGTAATGTAGGACTCACAGAGATGCTGGGACCTTGTTTTAAAGCAGGCTTGTGCAATCTTCAGCCCTCCAGGTGTTTTGGACTTTAGCTCCCACAATTCCTAACAGCCAGTAGGTAGTTAGGAGTTGTGGAGTTGAGAAATTTGAGAGATGAACCTAAAGAAATCCCCTTCATATGAGGTGCAATGAAATAATTTTTGAGAGGATTCTTTAGTAAATATTCTGAAGAAACAGGAAAAGGAACATAAGTACCAAGTGATAGTGGAAATAAAGGAACTTGAATCAAAGTATTTGTTAACAAAGGATTTGAAGATTATAAATAACATCTCCAGATTAAACAAAGAGCTGGAAGCCAGAAATATAGAAAAGGTTTAAAAAAAGGTATGATGTACACAAACAGATATTATTTTGAATATAATAATAAAAGCTTAAAACTGCTGGTAAAAGTAGCATAGACAAAGAGAGGAAGAAGGGAAATCGGAAGTATCAAGGATAGTAATGATATCATATGCACCATAATGGTAGATAAAATTAAAGTGGTACAGGATTTCTACTCTATTATGGATAGAGGTAAAGAAGTGGACACAGCTGAGTTAGATAAATATTTGGAGCAAAATTTAGATAAGAAGCTAAGTGAGACACATAGTAAGGAAATGGAGAAACCAATATCACGGGAGGAAATTAGAGATATGATTAATCAATTAAGGAATGGTAAGTCTCCAGGCAAAGATGGAATCCCAGCAGAAATTTACTAAATTTATACAGAATTTCTACTACCCAGATTACAGTAGTTATTTAACGAAATACTGAGGGGAAATCCTATACCAAACTCATGGAAATATACCAGGATATTATTAATTCCTAAACCAGGTAAAGATAAATTATAATTAGACTCTTACTGTCCCATCTCACTAATCAATCAGGATGCCAAACTTCTCAGCAATTCTGGCAAATGGATTAAAAAAATTGCTGAAGATTGTATCAACCCAGATCAATGTGAGTTTGTGAAGAGAAGGCACATAGAATGATAAACATTATAGAGAATGCCAAAGGTGAGAAAACTCAGGTAGGCATTATTGCACTGGAGATATATATATATATATATATATAGAGAGAGAGAGAGAGAGTGCCTGCCTGCCTTTGACTTGGTAGGATGGTCAGGGTTGAAAGCTCTGATAAAGAAATTCAGTTTTGGAGAGGGTTCCAACATATAATTGACCAAATATACTCATAAAATAAGGCAGTAGTAATAATTAACAATGTGAGTACTGAACTTTTTAGTATTAAGCAAGGAGGAAAGCAGGGCTGCTCTCTTTCCCCTGTGCTATTTATCTTAGTTATGGAACTAATCGCCTCTGCGATCAGGAAAGATAAGGAGATGGAGGGAGGGAGTATGGATAACAAAACCAAAATTAGCTTATTGACAGTCAGGAACCCGGATATGGCACTAGATAGGATAAAAGTACATTCAGAACAGTTTAAAAATAGCAGGTTTATAAATTAACTGGAAGAAAATGGAGGCAATGACAATAAAGCTGGAGGGAAAGGATAAAGAGAAAATATTGGAATAATTTAAGGTTGAATTTAAAAGTAATATTAGGTACCTGGGAGTCACAGTATATCTGCTAACTATTCAGAGCTAAGAAAATTAAATTTCAAAAGACTAGTCTGGGAAATCCAAGAAAGATTATTGGAATATTTAAAAAAAACTAAATCTATCATGTTTTAGTAGAATTGCCATCTTTAAAATGAAAATATTATCTAAATTTAACTTTCTTTATAATATGTTACCCATTAAATTATCAGATAAGGATCTTAAAAATGGAAGAAATTCATCAATGAATTCTGCAATGGAACAAGAAAAGCTAGACTTATGTGAGGTTTTTGGTACATTCCTCAGAAATTAGGGGGATTGGGAATACCAGAGTTAAAAACTTATTATCAGATGCATATAATAAAGGGAGTGTTTAGGCTGCTTTTGGAACCTAAGTTAATTTGGCAGGAACTTGAAGGCCAATGCCGGTAAAGAGATTACAGGAAAATGTTTTTTATACCAAAAACAGATAAAGAAATTAAGGGGTGTAAGAATAACCTGGCTAAAGATGCAATGGAGATATGGATTGGTTTTAAAAAATAAGATATGGCCAGGGGTTTCTCCCCTAACCCCAATAGTTTTATTGGAAAAATTTCCAGTAAATCTGTGAGTCAAAGTTAAGAATAAAAAATTAGTGGAAGCGGAAACTGCTTTTTCTTGGAAGGAATGAATACAAAACTCAAAGGGTAAATTTAATAAGCTAAAGGAAGGAGCCAGAGCCTGTTTTTCCCCCTTGGTGGCATGCCTCAGGATGGCTTCTCAGGGCTGCGGGAAGGAGGAGGAGAAGGGCAAGAATATTCAGGTGGTGGTCAGTTGCAGGTCCTTGAATACATGTGAATGAAAAGCAAATTCCTACTCTGTAGTAAAGTGTGAATATGCAAGGAAAGAAATTACTGTTCACGCTGGAGGTAAAACCAATAATAAGCTAGAGCAACAAGGTATTTTAATATGGTTGGAAAGGCAGCAGATATATATTTGAAAAAAGGATTGGTTAGGTAATAACCCAATATATAGAGAGTTAAACAAATATGGATTGGTTTTAAAAAGCAAGAAATATCAGGGAATGGGCTAATTGAGAAAATAAATAATGATCCAGTAGGTGAGGAAATAGGGCTGAAGTTGCTAGAAAAGGTATGGGAAGGAGATCTAGGGTCATTAAAAGATTTTGACTAGAAAAGGTATTAAGTGGAGATTACAAAGAATCTGTTGGTAAGATTAAAAGAAAATGTGTATGAAGTTTTATGGAGATGGTATACCACACCAATTAAATTACACCAGATCGATAGGAAGCAAAGTAGCCACTGCTGGAGATTTGGCAAGCACACTGGGACATACTTTCATTTATGATGGGAGTGTCCGCAACTGAAGAATTTTTGGAACAATATATTTAAGGAAATAGGTAACATTATAGGATTAAAAATTGTCCTGGATGCTAGGTTAGTATTACTTGTGGATGCCACAAAGTTGAATCTAGAAATGGAAAAGAAAGAATTGATTATTATTGTACTTACAGTGACAAGGCTTATAATTGCAAGGAATTGGAAGATAGTAACCAATCTCACATTTGAAGCATGATGTAGGGAGGTATGGAATGTAGCTTTAAATTATAAATTATCAATGGAAATGAGGGTGTCTAGAGGGGAAAACAAAAGATCATAATTTGATTTATATTGGTTGGTTTTCATCGAAAATATTTTAGAAAGCGACAAAGGAAAACAACACAAACTCGTTGGACAAGAATTTTGGATATGGCATTTGTTTATTAGTTTATTCATATATTTATGACAGTGGAAATGATATTTGTTCAGGCCTTAGTGGTGGGTTTAAGTGTTTGTAAAATGTTCATTATTTTGTATACTGTTTACACTGAATGCTGTTAATGTAAGTGTAATAAAATTTATTTTTTAAAAAGGAAAAGTCCAAAACACCTGGAGGGCTGAAGTCTGCCCAGGCATGTTTTAAAGGCACTGCCTCAAACAGCACTAGCACTCTGAAGTATCAGGGCTATACTATTTCTGGCTCCATCCGATAGTGTTTGATTTATATTTTATAAATTCCCTTCTCCCCTCTGAAGCAGATTCATCTATGTTTCAATATCAAGTATATCCCACTGATGAATGCTTCATCCCCTTGAGATGAAACCTTCTGATCCTACTTCCCAATTACTTAACACTTAGACATGAGGCAACCAAAGCAGAAAAAGTCATGGTGCCTTATCTCCAAAATCAGCTCCAAGGAAACCCCTGAGAGCCCATTTCCAAGCATTACCAAAGGCTGCTGGTGGGGTGATTTTGAATTTAAGGCATAACGGTTTCTGCTGAAGTGTACTCTAAAATCTTGCACTTTGGGTCTACCATATACAAATATGAAGATGCAGTTAGCAGAGGACTGAGGGACATCTACACTACATAATTAATGCAGTTTGATAGCATTCTAACTGCCATGTCTCAATGCTATGGAATCACGGGAGTTGTAGTTTTATAACATGTTTAGCAAAGAGTGCTGGAATGTCACCAGACTACAAATCCATGATTCCACAGCACTGACCCAGGGCAATGCATTAATTCTAGAGAGTAGATGTACCCAGACAATGGTCAAGAAAGATAAAACTATCTTAAGGATCACACTGGAAATATTACCTCCAGTAGCGGATTTACTATAGTATGCTTTGTATATCAGTTGCTTATGAGCATGAATAGGCAGTTGGCATTGCTCTAATGGCCTGCTTGTAGGCATCCTAGAAGTATTTAGTCACTGGATAAATAGGGTTTGCTTTACCACGGCTATTACATAATAATGATTACAAAGTCCCTTGTGTTAATACTGATAATTATTGATAATTGCCAAAACTTTGCAAAACCCTTCTATGCCTTCACTTCTAGTTTCGAATAAGATTGAAGTTTCTTCCAAGTGTAGAATAGTTCAGGGACATGGAAAGGATAACGTACCTCATACCTCCCTAGAGCATAGATAATTTTAAGTGCAGGGAAGATTAATACTTCGTGGCTTCAGAGGATTCAAATTGCTACTTTTACCAAAGATTTATATAGAAAACAAGCACAAGTAAGTTCACTCACCATTTTAAAAAATTATTTTGTACAGAATCTCAGAATTCCAAGAAAGGGCAAAATGCTGTTAAATTTCCCATATGTTAGAATTAATTATTCTATGGTGCTTAGGAATTAGAACTATCAAAATCTCTTGCTGATACAACATGTATATGGACCCTTCCACTATTTAACATCAGCACAATATTAGAGGGTATATTGAAAATTGTTCACAAGTGGCATCTCTGTTCAGTTAACTGGGATTAATTAGGAAGACTCCCTGAGATATTGCAAATGTTGCAGAGAATTAGGCATTATGTTCCTTATGAGGATTTCTTATCCCAAATCAGCTGGTTTCTGGAAAGAGATCCTTGGTCAGATAACAGACGAAACAGCAAATTACTCTGAGTGTCTGTTGTTCTGCTCAATATCTGAAGCTCCTAAAGAAATGTGTGTGCAAAGAGAACCAATAGTGCAGCTAGACTAAAGATTTCTAGAGAACCGAATGATTTGAAAGACCTAAGCATTCAAGGGTGGGTAGATATTGTCTGAGATGTAGACATATAAATTTAAAAATTGAGTGGCAGCATAAAACAGAATGATTTGAAAAGGCATGGAGAGCTTTTAGCTTCTTTGTAAGGACTCACTTGAAGTTGCAGGCTAGATTTTGAGCAATCTATTCTGATTCTTGGTTTTGAAAGATGACCATTATTTTTGTTAGAACTAACAATCTGCTATTTCAAGAGTTCTGATCTGTTCTTGGTTGCTGTTGGCATTTTCCCTCTCTCCAGGTTGATTGTTTTTCTTGTTTGTATTAGGTGCTTACATGTCAACATTTTATAACATTCTTAATAAACAGTTAAAATTGAGAGGGCACTTAGTGTTGCAAAAATATGCCTGGAGGGCTTTATTTTCCCTCACCTCGATGTAGCAGCAAGCATACAGTGTTCTCTCCTCTTGTCATACATTGCAACTTCTGTCTTTATTTTTGAAGAATCGGGCAGAAGCATCAGTATAATGCTGCCACAGCCAGAATAACTGGCCTATACAGCGATTAGGGTTACACATTTCTTCACACTTGACACTAGTTGTACAGGTTTGTCATGCATGCTCAACTGCATGGTCAAAGCACCTGCAAGTTAGCAAGTTTTTATTTTTATAAACATCCATGACATCTTGCTCACAGGACTTTCATTCTGTCTACAGTCAACGCCATTTAGTGCTGTCCAACAGAACTATCACTACAAATCATCCTATTCAGTTTCTTGTCCAAAGGCACAAATGTTTCCAATTCCTTCAAGGGTAGCATATTATAGGAATTCCTGCACATGTATGTATAGCAAATTACACTGATGATTTCATAATAAGAGAAACCACTGTGTGCTGCTTCATTAACTGAACATCCCCTAATTTATTCAGCACATTAAATGGTAAAGTTATTTTGTGGAACAGCACAAAGGCAAATAATAGAGTGTCCCAAATCACTTGCAGTAATTTTGTAGAACAGTCTTTGGAATCACACTTGACTGAAGAGAACTGTGATCTTGACTAGGCTCCCTGAGTGTAATTAAAGATTCTTTAGTATTAGCTATTCCAGTTCAAAAAAAGAAACAAAAGTTTTTCTCCACTTACTCTCTGTTGGCAGAGAATTTCTTAGAAAGGTGCCACACAGGAGTCTCAGATTTTCATACCTTATATGTCCTCTTCTATCTCCTCCAAATAGAACTATTCCACTTCTCTGTCTTGGGCTGGACTTCCTTTCCTGTTGAAGATCAGAGCAGTGATCCCTTGTTTTTTTTCCCTCTTTTCACCTGGAACCTTTCATGTTGTGTCTCAATTCAGTGAGATCTTCCCAATGAATCTTGACAAAATGTTAGATTTGCTGCAACTGCCAGACGCATCACTGAATAATTCCCGCAAAAGTGTTGATAGGTAGTAATAAAGATTTTGGTAGGTATTTAGCTAGTCCTACGTCTTCTTCTTCCTGCAAACTGGTCTGTTTGTTTTTTGTCCTTTGCAAGCAGTAGCTAGGTTCCAGGCATGGAAAAACTTCAATACTGTGAAATTAAAAAAAATGCATTTCACATTAATGGAGTATACAAGCTGAAGGTCACAATCTGGTATGTTGTTCATTCATTTCTGATACAAAGTTGTCTTTCTCTGAAAACTCCTATGATCCCAGGAACTGTAAATTCAGCCAGTATGATTCAAATTTCAGAGAAATGGAAAAAACATTCCTATATCCTCTCCATACATAAATCATGTTTGATTTATATCAGACAAAAAGAAACTACTTGGCAATGGTTGAGACTAGTATCAGAGGTAGAAAGTACAATAAAATATCCTCACTGTCAAATTATTTTTTCTAATAAATCTGATATAGGAAGAACACTCAGTGAATAAAACATGCGAGTCAGTCACCTCTAGTACTCTTTTTTTTTCTATATGGAACATTTAAAGTGTGATAAAAGAAATAATGTACCAATTAAAACATGCAGTAGTGATTTTTCAATATTCAATCCAATAGAATGAAAAGAATGCTAGGAACCAATGTACCACTAATAATACTTTCTCTCCACTTTTTTTTAAAGCTAGTTCTAGAGTTGGGTGCATCCTTACCATCCTCAGGAACTGACTTTACGGAGTGGGAGGGAGAAACCTAGAAGAACATCTATTGAGATACAGAGTGTTAAAGAAACTAACCTGGTCACATTCTTATAAACTCGTCTGGAGTCTTTGTCCAAACACACAGTGAAGGACCTTTGCTCTGTACTTCTGAGTTTGATGTTCCGTGTTCGAATAGTGTTGGTCACCAACTGAAATAAAATGATGCAAGACACTCAGATTGGAAAATGCAAGCATTTCTAGTTATTCAATTGATTTACAGTATATATTTGGTAACAGCACTTTGCACTGGTTTTTGGTAAACTATGGCATAAATTCTAAATTGCCAATTAATAAACCAAAAGAAAAGCTCCAAGAGCTACGCTGTTTTTTCATACTTCAGTTGTAGCTCAGGTTCAACAAAATAGTTCATTTCTTATGCTTCTCAATAAACAACGTGTGTCAATAAAACCAATTTGTATGAGGACTGTACCTGTAGAACATACAGGTTGTTATGCAGCTTCATCTGCAGAAAATATCTAATGTGTATTGTCTATTAATATTCAGGCTGCCACAGTCACAAGGTAAAGGTGTAATTTGGATTTTGAAAGGAGCGGAAACTTCAGTGTTCACTATGTAGCCAGTCTGTTTGATAAATTATGCACCGAAGAACTCATTAACAATACATTTCTCAGTTTGGCTAATGAGACTAATTGCACTGGATGTGCTGTTTCAACTGGGAAGTCATATTTGTTTTATTCAAAACTTCAGATCAGTAGAGATTACTGTTAGTAAAGGATGAGTAAGTCTCAAGTGAAATACAAATGTCTGCATGCATGTATACACCTCTGAAATGCACCTTTTTTTCTTTCTTAGTTGTGAGATGTTTATTTAACGTGCATTTAATTCTGGAGGAAAAAAATGTGACCTGGTATCTAATATTTTATATTTTAGCCTATACATTTGGCATGCCACTGTAGGAAAGCCATGAGGTTTTTTTTTCTTTTTCATTTTCATCAACATTTTGGTAAACACATGGGAATAATAGCAGGATTGACACATTATTATACAAAAAGGTCCTTGGCACTGCAAGGAAGAGCCTGGCTTTTCAAAAAGTCTTGAGTAATGACAGAAATAGAGTGAAAGTATCTAATAAAGACTGATAAATCAGCTGAAATAAAAGTGTTTGCCAAGGATTGTGCTGTAGGGCAGTGTAGATATTCCGGACGTATCTAGTTAGCTTAATATCAGAAGAAACTATGGAATGTGTTTGGAAAGCAATCAGGCCTCATCAAAGAAGCCAAGTGTATTCTTGAAAACCCGTGGATTTAACTTGAACATACTAGTGTATGCTTCTTTTCTAGCACAAAGAAACAGGCTCTATAATAAGCAGATAGAAAGGGATCCCAGATCAAATATCAAAGTAAATGCAAGGACTGACAAAATAATAATACAAAACCATTAACTGCTTAGAAGTTTCCCTAGTGTACTCAATAAAGTCACAATGACCTTAATAATTATGTTTTGTGAAACAGGAGGGAAGAGGCTGTAAGATACAATATTCTTGCAAATTACTGAGACAGTCACAGTAATTATGAATATTTTCTCAAGAGTTTTGTAATCTGCCCAAATTTTGGTAAGAGTTTTGCAAGAGCACAGGCAGTCCCTGTGTTATAAACATCCAACTTACAAATGACTCATAGTTAAGAATGGGAGTGGGACAACAGGAAATGAGAGAAATCTATACCTCAAAAGGGAAATTCACTCCTGAAAGAATTACCATGGGGAAAAGGGATGTCCTCTGAAGCTTTCTCATTAACCCTTTTTTTTCCAAAATCCAAAAAGTGAGGTGAAATCTTCTGAGCAGGCACAGACAGCAAAACAAACATCACAGGGGTGGTCACTCTTCCCTATGCTATCCTAAACTTATGTATGTATTTATGTGTGTATGTATGTAACTCCAGCCATATATATACTAGTCGTCCCCTGCCACACGTTGCTGTGGCCGAGTCTGTGTATATGTGTTTTGTGTTTGTATATGTGTATGTATGTGGTTTTGCACATGCGTTGTATTTTTATTTTTTTGCTTCTAAAGTCTCTTCTGCCATGTTTTTCAGTGTTTTTATGAGTGATAGTCACTCTTTGGCCTGATACGTGTATTGTGTCCAAATGTCGTGTCAATCCTCCCAGTGATTTTTGAGTTATGTTAATCCCACAAACGAACATTACATTTTTATTTATATAGATGGCTGGAGTTTTAAAAAATACCTGTTCCACCTTACATATAAATTCATCTTAAGAACAAACCTACAGAACTTGTTTGTAACTTGGAGATTTTCTGTAAAAGAAATCCCATTTGATCAGCAGAACAATAAGAAAGTAGAAGTATAGTGGCAATGTTCAGGTCTATAGATTATGCATTACAAGTTCACAGCTCCCAAGGCTTGCTTCCAAAAATCTTCAGAACAGATTTAAAATTATTTTGCACACTTAGATAATTCACAAATAATTCAGCATGCGTGTTCTCACTTGTTCTTACTTACTATTATGAAGTATATAAAAGACACTAATCTCCTTTTCCTGCATACACTGATAAGTATGAAAGTAAAGGTAAAGGTTTCCCCAACATTAAGTCTAATTGTGTTCATCTCCATTTCTAAGCCGAAGAGCCAGCATTGTCCGTAGACACCTCCAAGGTCATATGGCCAGCATGACAGCATGGAGCACCGTTACCTTCCCGCAGAAGTGGTATGTATTGATCTGCTCACAGTTGCATGTTTTCCAACTGCTAGGTTGGCAGAAGTTAGACCTCACAGCGGGAGCCCGGGTTCGAACCGCCCACATTTTAGTCAGCAAGTTCAGCAGCTCAGTGGTTTAACCCGCTGCGCCACCAGGGGGCACTATTAAGCTGCTATTTTTGAAGAATTAAAATGGCACTTACAGAATATGATCGTCCAGAGATATTGGAAATTTTTACAACTTCAGCAATGTTCACACTTAGACACACCAGATCTGCAAGAGAACCAATAAAAGGTGTGTGTGTGGGGGGGGGGGGGGGGGGGGGAGAGAGAGAGAGAAAGAGAGACATTGAGTAAGCAACCAGGCTTGTTTCTATTTCTTTGCCTTGACTGGAAAATCGTCATATTCTCCGAAATCAACAATGCCCCATATGTTCATCCTCTATAAGCATATCTAAGCTGGTTCATTTGCAGCAAAATAGACCCATACATAAACTCAGGAGCTTGTTTGTCCATTTTCCAAACATAACTTTTTTTTCTTTTTTGCTCTGGAAGAGCATATTTTGCTTGTTTGAAGTAAAAGGGCCATGTAGACCAAAAGCTGGCTAAGCACCTGTAAAACCTTGTGAAGCACACACTTTGCTTAGGGTTTAATATACACAAGCATTTTGTGATTGTTTAAGTATATACACAAATGGGACAGCTTCCTAGAAGTAGGGTCCAGCATGAGGATAGGACAATCTCCCTAATGAAATCTGTATTCACTGCAGATCTAAGAACAATGTGTCACCAACAGAACAAAAATAGAAAGTTGGTAGGCAAACAACTATCACGTCAAACCCTCTTCCATAGCAAATTATTTGCATTCTATGGACTCTACATTTGTAGAATTTAGAGGCATAGCCATAGATTCTGTAGCACCTTTGCAACTGACTGAAAAACGTTGGTAGTATACATGTTTGTAAACTAAAGTCTACTTCATCTGATGCATGAAGTTAAGTGCCTAGGAACACATCTTTACAGCTATTAATGCACAGGTTGTATTTGTGAATAGCACGAGAGATGCAGAATTTGTTGTGATGAGGTGACAAGAGCCCTTATTTATTTATTTTATTTGCTATACTTGTATACCGCCATTTCTCAGCCTAGCCGGCGACTCAACGTGGTTTACAACAACTTATAACAAACAACAGTATACAGTTTAAAAGCATAAAAACACGATCCACAATACATATATCAATAAACAATCCAATTCATCTCTTGACTAAAATCGCAATCCAGTTTCGTCGTCCAAATTGCCAGTCCTTCAATCATTACACTTATTGCACTGAGTTAACCGAACGCCTGCTCGAACATCCAGGTTTTTAGTCTTATGAGGTTTGGGAGGTAACTACAGCTATTATATGTGTATTGTGTGCCAGGAAACCATTGTCTGCTCAATCCAGAGTTGATGAACTGGAGTTTATGAATTATTTCAGTTAGTTTCAAGGGTGCTGCAAGATTCCTTTGCATAGGGACACTATGTGCTTCTTTGAATTATTCCAAAAGGAAATTGACACCTCGGTCATGGCTTTTTTTATTATTGCAGCAGCATGCTTTTTATCTATGGAGAAAAGAGACCACAAGTCACTTCACTTCATGTAGATTATTCCTTCTTTTTTCATTGATTATAGGAATGCAAACACTGAGGCTGTCTCAATAGAATTCTGATACAGAGCTAATCAAATAAAGTATTTTGTTTCACCTGTGAAACTCCAAGTCTCTAGTGTTAAATGCTATAAAACTGGAATGAAAGCTGACCAAGTATGCATGCTTACCCCACCCCCACTGGAAACTTTACCTTCAATTTCATTTGAGGGTATGGCTTTCATAATCAAGCCTGTGGATCGCACAGAAACTGACTCATGTTTTTCACGGTTACTCAGCAAGACCTTGAAAAAAAGCAGGATGTCAACTACCAGTATCTTTCACAGTGCATTAATTCTTAACAGAAATAATAGTTCAGCTAGCCAAGTCGTGACCAATATAAACCCTCTCTATTTGTTTATAGTGGCCTTGGTTCTTCCACAAATGTCCCAAGCTATGTAGTTTATAGCCAACATGTTGACAGACAACAGATAAGAGGTATTATGACAGCATTTTCCCAATTTCGGCACCCTGGAGGTTTTGCTTGATTCTGGCCACAGGGGGGTGCTGCCACTCCATCCTCTATAATGGAGATTCTTGATCAAGACTTCCTCCTTCCTTTGTTTGCCAGCATTTCCTGGTATTTCTTTTATGGTGCCATAAAATGCTTCCCGCTTAAGCAGTGCCTAATTTCTCTACTCACAGTTCACAGCTGTTTTCGAACTGCTTAGGTGGACAGTAAGCTGGGCTGAAGGTTGGGTGCTCACCCCAACCTGGGCTTCAAACTGCCAACCTTTCAATTGATAAGATATATTGCCGCTGGTTATTAACCAGCTGTGATAAAGCCTGGCCCCTTTTGTTCCAAGTAAAGCTCCTTTTGTTCCAAGTACAGCTACTGTTTCTCCTTTGCAAAGAGGACAATTTCCAACAGGCTATTTAGTGGAGATGCAATCATTGCTTTACTTCTTTAGTTAGTACTGTAGAGTAAGGTTTCTTAAACCCTTTCCACTTGTGATCTCTTTCCAACTGAGAATTTTTTTTATGTGTTCTTGGGCATATAGGTATATACATTTTTTTGTGGAGTGCAGTTGAAGCATTTTCTGCAGAGTCCACTGTAAACACTAAATGTTGCTGACAGATTCATGTAATATTTAAAACAACCACTAGGTGGTATTCAAAAGCCTCTTTACTGTTGCCCAAATTTTTGTGACCCCAACACTGAGTTTGGAGTCAGGACCCACAGTTTAAGAAGCAGTTCTGCAGAGTAAACTTTCAGCATAAACGCAGGTGTTAAACCTGTGTTGAGGATGAAAAAAAGTATTGGGGGAAGGCAAAGTGATTGGAGTCAGTAGCAGGGGATGGAAATACTGAATTATTTTATCCCATGAACCACTTTCCTGCTGGTAATCCTTACTTTGGAAGCAAAGCAAATGGTTACAGTTGGAGTCCTCTGGGCTCCAAGAGAATGAGTAAAAAATAAAATGACGACATGGTATCATTATTCTCTATTCCAGTGATGAGAGCTACTAACACATTATGCTGGCATTCTAAGCTCAGTTATTGGTGAGAGCAAAACAATATTTTGCTGAAACTCTTTGTTGGTTCCCAGAACCTGCTTGTTCTTATCTTCACACCGTAATCTAGTTCACCTTTTTATATAATAGTGTAAGATCAGTGCCAGGAACCTCTGTGGTTGGTTTCTTTTTCACTGGGAGGTTGTCTGGAAGAGAAGGAGCCACATATTAGGTGACACTGTTATTTCCCAGCAAGAGAGAGGGTAACATGATAGATGGAGAGAGACAGATTGATGGAAAACGTATAGTGATTTGATAACATTTGCCCATTGTAAGACTTGACAATATTGTTATAACTGGTCATTTTGTTCCTTTGGGGGAGAGTGGGTGACAGGGGTGATTGTCCTGTTATTGTCAAATTCTAAAAATAACAATAAAAATAATCTTTTTAAAATGATGTTTTTCTTTTGTGCCTGATTGTTTTAAACAGCACTTTGTGTAGCTGGTGTAGAAACATTATGTGAAGCTTTACATAAATGTAGTGAATAGTGGAGAGGAAAAGAGCCATTGAGTTTGGTGGCTCCAGTCATCCCAGAAGAGCACACACCTCCAGGAAAAGCACCTGCAGCCAGCTGACCTTTCCTCAGCCTTTCATCTGTTGAAGCACAGCTTGGCTGAAGACATGTGACACCAGATATAGAGACTAGTATTTGAGAAGGAAACAAACCACAATAGATAGGAAGCCCTAAAGGGAGACACAGACCTGTGGGTGGGGTGAATTCTTCAAGCGTTATATTCAATTCAATGAGGAAAATGTCCTCAGCTGGTTCTAAAGTTGCATTACTGAAGAGAAGCTGAAAAGCAGAAAAGAGGCTTTCAGAACACAGTTCCTCCCAACTGGGTGAAATATTATCAGGGATTTTTTGAAAAGTTCCATTTGATGATAAATGCTACAATGCTTTAAGAACTGAAAGAGGACACTGACCTTCACAGCATAGACTTGGAAGAAGACTGGCTGTAAACCAAGACGTAAATAGTATGCAATTACATCAATGATGAATAGATCAGAGGCCGAAGCTTTGCTTGGAGAAATGGGCTGTATGGGATCAAATACAGTTGGGTTGGGTCAGTCTAAAAATATGAAAAAACGATCTGCTTTTTCTAGCAGGCGCTAGGTCAATCGAGTAAACAAGAATGTGGATGGCTACCTATGAATTATTCCCACACCTCATTATGTAACTATAACACTACTGAAGACACCAACACAGTATTTGCCATTGCAATCCTTTATCTCATTTTTTAACAAATTATTTAGGTTGCATATGCACAGTATAATTAATGCAGTTTAATACCAGGAGCCCCCAGTGGTGCAATGGGTTAAACCCTAGTGCCAGCAGGACTGAAGACCGCCAGGTTGGAGGTTTGAATCCGGGGAGAGTGCGGATGCGCTCCCTCTGTCAGCTCTAGCTCCCCATGTGGGGACATGAGAGAAGCTTCCCACAAGGATAGTAAAACATCAAAAACATCCGGGCATCCTCTGGGCAACGTCCTTGCAGACGGTCAATTCTCCCACACTAGAAGCGACTTGCAGTTGGCTCAATGGAATCATGGGGTTGTAATGAGGTGAGGGAACCTGTACTCTGGGAGATAAGATTTTGCAAAACTACAACTCCATTCATGGGCAGTTCATGGCTACAGTGATATAGTGATTTCAAATCAGATCAATCTTTTTGAAACACCCTGAACATATGTACCAGTTTGGTATGTACAAACCCTATATCTCAACCTAGTTTAGGGAACTTGTAGAGACCATGAAAGTTCCCCAGTTCCCACACACTATGAAGCAGTTGCTGTGATTGCTGGGAGTCCATTCCTTAGTACCTCGAGAAGCAGTTGACTGATGTTCCCACCATCCTCTGTATGATTAATCTCTAGTGTGAAGGGAAATTGCAACAGGGGCACCATTTCCGCCTATCAAAATGGAGATTGCTCATGGGAAGGGCCAGGGAGGTCAGTCAATGGCTTCCTGACTGATGGAACCTTGTCAACTGCAGCAGCTCCTGCTGTCAAGTAAGTGGAGATTGGTGAGCAGGGACTGGTCTAAGTATCATTGTGTAGCCACTTAATTATGGTGGTTGTGCATTCATAATTCCTCAACAGGATGACAGCCAACACATTTAAAAATGTAACTAGGGACAGCTCTTTAAAATTATGATTAGCATATTTACCATTTTAATCTAACATCTTTTTGCATAATTTAATAAGTAAATAAAATAGCTATATTGTGAAAAATGCTACATACCACTTGTCTGTGATACATAGCACATCTAAGTAGTGAAGTCACTACTAAAGGAGCAATGTTATGCACGGTGATCAGTCATTTATCTCACGTTACATTTCCTTTGTATAGTGACTTATTTATGCCTTGGATGTTTTAAAAAATAAACTCATCACAAGCAATTCCTTACGTGGCAGTTATGTCCAAACTCTGATTTATTGGACTTTGGTCTAGGTTGAAGTTCTGGGAGCCCTGTTCCTGGCTGTCATTACATTCTCATTTGTGTTTCAATATTTCTGGCCAAGTCATGGAAGCACTGCTCGTTTCTTTTGGCATCTGGAGTACATGACAAAAAAGCCTCACTGTGGTTTATAAGGAGTACAAGCAAAAGAAAGGGCTCCTTCCTACCATGGTGGCCAGCTTTGGAATCATGTGACAGAGGGTGTTAATGTTGCTCTCGTACCATGGGTCAGCTCTTCCAAGATAAGCAGCCAACTCACAAAGCTCTGTCTGGTCAGGCAGAGCATATTCCTAGAAGAAGAGACACCACACAGGTTTGATTCCATTCAGAACACAGCACAGTCGCAAAAGAGACATGGCACACACACAGTCCAACACAATCTAGCCATGCCTCCTTCTGCAAGCCCCTGAGCTACTCACCTCAGCAGGGGAAGAGGTGGGTTGTTCCTCTGCAACAGGCACATAGTAAAACTCCACTTTTAGCCTCCGTGTAAGAAAAGTGCGTCTGCTTTCCCGCTTCCTGTGAATGAAGAGAGAGGTGGGGAACTGCTATTTGTATTTGGGTCTTTGTCATTTCATCTCTTCTTTGTCATTTCATCTCTTCCTGGTGGGTCCCCTTCTTTTGTTGGATACTTAAGCATGTAACATTTGGACAGCCACAAATCTGGTTTGCTGGAAACAATGTCATTCTCTAGCCAGGTTGGAGGAGAATTATTCCCCACAGAACACTTATGAATGTGTCTTCTCTATTCTTCTCCCAATCATATAATGAACTTCAGTTTAGACAAAGATATATTATTTTCCCCAATATACACTTTTTCCCAACCATACCACAGTGACCTGCAAGAATGAGAAATTTCTGCAGAGTTCTGAAGAGCTTCTTCTCCAGTTCAGGTTAGCGAGAAACTGACTGTTCAGGTCAACCTGATCCAGTAGCTGGAACACTTCCCTTGACACAAAACATTTTGACTCAGAAATAAGGAGGACTTTCAACTAATCAGCAGTGAGTGATGCCCTCACTGTCTCAAATGGTCTAATATGACTCAAATGGTCTAGGCAAGGGGAACTAAGGCTCGAGGGCTGGATACAACCCTCCAAGGTCATTTACCCGGCCCTCGCTAAGGGTCAACGTAAGTCTGAAACAACTTGAAAGCACACAACAACAACAACAACAATCCAATCTCATCAGCCAAAAGCAGGCCCACGCTTCCCATTGAAATACTAATAAGTTTATATTTGTTAATATTGTTCTTCATTTTAATTATTGTATTGTTTTTAAGTGGGGTGTTGTTGTTTTTTGCACTACAAATAAGACATGTGCAGTGTGTATAGGAATTCATTCATTTTTTTCCAAATTATTATCTGGCACTCCCAATAGTTTGAGGGACTGTAACCTGGCCCTTTGTTTAAAAAGTTTGAGAACCCCTGGTCTAGGTGGAGAATTTTTCCTTGAAGTCTGAGGAAACTGATTCAAATTAAAAGACAGATAGATAGAGATATAGATATATTCGCAAATACAAAAACAAATCACAAGAAGCAAATGGCTAAGAAGACCCATTTGCCATGTCAGGGAAATAAAAAATCCTTATGAAAAAGAATGTGCTAATGGTTGGGATTCAACCCCACACTGCCCAAGTCTGAAATCTTCAATGAGTAATAGTTTAGTTAGCTAAGTATGGACTAAGGGTTTCCCTTCCCTCATGTCTCTTGAATGACAGTTAGGAATGTATCTTTTTCTTCTCTCTTCTCTCTTTCTGCTCTCATTCTGATTGCTTGTTTAAAATGGATACTTTTCTACTGCAAGCTTTTTGAATCTGACTTCTGCCTTCTTCTCACACTTTAGTATGGAGGGTATGTGCTGTGTGCTTTGAGATCTCTCTCTAAGTGTGTGTCAGAGAAATGTAGTGATTTGTGTTTTTCCCTCTCTTAAAACCTTAGAAGAGATGGGTCTTGGGGTAGCTCAAACCCACTTCCTTACCATGAAGAAATGTAGTTAGTTCTTTATTATTGTAAATAAACCTTTTGTGATTTTTAAGATTGGACTCTGCATCTTGACCTGCCTAAGCTCTTAATTCTTTACAGCCACATCACACAGCACTTTACCAGCTAATGAGATGAATGCTCAACCTTTGTATCCTGTTTGTTTTTGGATGCTCTACTTTATTTTAGGGTAACTTTCCCTAACACTGATAAAAAGGAAAACACCAATTAGCCAAAGGAAGCTCTGGTTACTGTGTGCCTTCAAGGCATTTCTGACTTATGGCTGTCCTAATGCAAACCTATCACAGCAGCGTTTTCTTGGCACAATTTGCTCTGGCCTTGCTTTCCTAAGCCTTATCTAAGATCACTCAGTGGGTTTCATGTCTCAGCAAGAATTCAAACCCTAGTCTGCCAATGGCCTAGTCCAACATTCAAACCACTATACAGTGCTGACTCTCTTGGAGATGGCTCTAGCTTCTTGTTTTGTAGAGCGATTATGCAAGTTGCTCTCTTCAATTTTCTTAAATAGATGGATTTTAGAGTGACGGATCTGCATTATCCTTACCTCAAGGAATAATATGCCTGGGCAAGGCGCCCCAAAACTCTGTCATCACCCAGCACCAAGACACGAGCTGTGTGCAGTCTCTTCATCGGGGCCATAGGTTCCATGATACTACAACCAGATTTCCGGTGCAGCTTCTCAGTAGGCTTTGTCCCTTCCCCACTGCAGCCACTCTGTAGGAAAGATAAGCTATCCAGAGAAGTTCCCTTCTTCTTCATGCATCCCTTTCTCTGGAGCCGAGAACGCTCAGCTTCAGCAGTGCAGAAAGATGACATTTCATTACTTGGCAGGGCCAGATCCCGTTCAATTCCACTGTCATTGGAGAGCACAGAGAAACGTGCCTGCTCACAGCAGTCATATTCTGACAGCAGGTCTTGGAATTCAAAGCTATCGAGTTCTGGGTTCAGAGAATCCTGCTCACAGGACTGACTTGGTGAACGAAGGAACAGCACCAGCTCCTTCCCTGAAAAATGGAGATTGGTTTGAGGTTTTCTAAATACTCTCACAAAACTAAAAGCACAGTATTATGCAAAGTGGAACTAGAACAGTGATAACAGGAATAGGGTTTTCTACCCACACACACACACCCCCCACCGGCATCCTCCAACTTCCTATGCCAGGATATTGTGATCTTGAGCCATGGGAGCAGCATATGTAAATGGGATGCAGATTACCTCCTGGTGCTAAAATACTTTTAACAATGAACAAAAATGGCCTTGGGAAAACATATTATCTCTTTCCTGGGACCATACTACTTCAAACAAGAAGCTGTGTTAGTCCCTTGCAGCATAAAAAGGAGAAAGGAAAGGGAAGAAAACAAAAGAAATGGGTCTGTATCTTTAAGACTGGTTTGCATTTTTACATGAGCTTTCATGGATGCAAACCCACTTCTTTGCATGTAGTATCATGCATTCAAATAGGGAGCACAGTGGCACAATGGGTTAAATCCTTGTGTCAGCTGAATGAGATGGGATCTGCACACATTATTCGCTGATACATCACACAGTCCTAGATACTTGGGAAGTGTTTGACGTGTGATCCGCTACAACAGCCAGCCTAGTGTCTGCTGTGGACTCATCTTGTTGTGTTTCAAATAATAATAATATAACTATCTCCCCTCGGGGACTCAGGGTGGTTTCCACAGATAACATAAAACATACAGAGTAGCCATTAAAACATAAACATGATCTATTAACAATATCCTATGCATTAAAACAAACCAATTTCATAAACCATTGTGAAAATACGAACCGATACATCTTAAAGGTACTGCTACATTTTCCCTCCCTCTTATTTCCCCCTTTTTGTACTACCTAAAAGTAACATAAATATTCTAAAGGTGTCGGGTACTATCTGATCTTGGAAGCTAAGCAGAGTGAACTCTGATTAGAATTTGGATGGGAGACTACCCATGGATGAATACCAGGTTATATTTCAGTGGCAAGAATTGGCAAAACCACCTCTGAGTATTCCTTGCCTAAGAAAAACGTAATGGGGTTGCCAGAAGTTGAAGGCACACACACACACAACATCAAAAACAGAAGTGGACAATTCCAGGTTAATCTGTTTCTCCATGAAAAAAGGAATCTCTGAACATAAACCTAGCATATAAGAGCATTCTTGTTGAGCCCACATACTCAGTGTTCACAGGAATTTTGCACTTTTGAAATAAACCTGTACTGCCACACAGATTGGCACAGAAATAAGAAGCTGATGCACTCCCAGTGTTTCAGATCAGGTCCCAGAATATTCAATGATCAATGGTAAGGGGTTGTGCGAGTTAATGAAGTCATGGGGTGGTACATTTTCCCTATCCCATCCAGAGGAATTGTGGCTATAAGCTATGGTCCATGTCATTCTTTGGACACTTACAAAGCTGGTCTTCATCTCTCCACAAGTGAAAACTAATCCTTGGATTGGGCAAAGGAATGCCAGGGCTTCTCTCTCCTTCATCCTTCTGTACATCTGTGGGACATAGAGATGTTCTTGTTAATTTACTCATCTGGGAGTGTATTGTGGATAGCAGCCTGCAAAAGCAGACAAATACACTGGAGAGGAGTCTATATATTTTGAGGAACAGCTGCTGCTCACTTGCCCTGTATGAACACTTAGCCCACTGTTACAGAGCTAATGGAAAAAAAGGTTAAAAGCATCCAGCCAGTGGCTAATCCTTCCAAATTTGTTTTTATATGTTGAAATATTTTATTTCAACTGCTGGTTTAATCTTATAGTCATGTTCTTCCTATATTTGTGATGGTACACCATCCAGAGAACTCAACAGCTCAAAAGTAAGATAGACAGCAAATAAGCCACTTTTTAAGGGCTATGACCAGCAACAGTTTCAGCAAGTCAGATAAGAGAGGCCCATGTTAATCAGAAAACACATTTTGATATAACCTTCTATGTTGAAAATGAAATGCTTATTGTGGTTAGGCCAGTTGCCAAGAACAAACAAATAAAAATCCACACATCCTGATTGTGGTTCTTTTCCCCCTCTGGTTAATATTGCATCATTTAATTTTGGTTCTCAATGTTTCTTGTAATTTCATGTACAAATACTCTCTTATATTCCTTTTTTTAAAAACCCTTAAATAAATAAATAAATGGAATATGTTGATTTCTTTGTCTGCTTTATGATGTGAATTATGACATTGTGGATATGTCCAAATCCCCTCACAGCCCATTTTGCAATCCTCACATGATATCCTGTTTATGTCTCAATTTTCAGTAGAACCACACTGCTATAGTGATCAAGTGTAATGAAGCTATTACTGTGTCAGTTTCCAAAACCTGATCTGGTCTTTCTAGATAATCTATTCCAGTGAATTCATTAACATGGGAAAATGCATGTGTGTTTGTGTGATGTTGCTCCAAGAAAACAAACACAGCAAGAGCTCTATTGCACTGTATCCCTGCTACATAGTATCTTTAGAGTTGTTGTTTTTTAACTCTGTAGCTGCTAAAACATAACACGTCTTCATTTGGAAAGATTAACCCTTTCCCCCCACGAACACATACAGCTCAATCTGAGAAAAGTGAAGAAAAGTTTCCAACAACATCCCACAACTTTCTTTTCTGTCCCTTCTCTCTTGCGACTTCTTCCCAAGATAAAAATGACTGGTGTGTGAAATTCACTGCTCCGTTGCTAAAGCTATAGCTTATTTTTTTTAAAAAATAGGAAGGAAGGAAGGGTTGTTGTTTTTTTAATCATGTCAGAAGCAACTTGAGAAACTGCAAGTCACTTCTAGTGTGAGACAATTGGGCTTCAGCAGAGATGTTGCCCAGGGGACACCCAGATATATTACCACCCTGTGGGAGGCTTTTCTCATGTCCCTGCATGGGAAGCTGGAGCTGACAGATGGGTGCTCATTCCATCTCGCGGATTTGAACCACTGACCTTCAGCTCAGCAGTTCAGCCAGCACAAGGGTTTAACCCATTGCACTACCGCGGCTCCTAGGAAGGAAGGTGAACACATCTCCAAAATAGGGAGAGATTGGACATACCTAATGGCCACAATTCAAAGCATGATCAAATATACCTCTGGGTTTTAAATTGATTTTGGGCTAAGAATAAAGTACTTTGAGGAAGCTGAGGAAATAGATTGTGATTGGCAAAAAATTGTTTGGATCTTGAGAAAAGAAATCAGAATGTACAGCAACGAATGCCGCCACCTCCCAATACATTAGCCCAATGGAAAGAATCCTTCGAAGAGGAAACGCATTCCACTGTTCAATTTCTGTGGCACCCTCCTTTTTTGTCTGTGAACCTCTCCTTTCTGGTCCTGTGGTCATGAGTATATACTGTATAGTCTCTTTCTTTTGTCCAGGTCATACTTAACCAAGTATACTTAGAAAAAAGGTTCAAAATGTTTGATTTATATATTTAAATTTCTAATTTTGAGTTGTTCTATAAATACACCTGATGTTGTTCATGTTTTTGTTTATTATTTGATCTGTTTGTTATGTTATGCCGGCACTGAATGTTTGCCAGTTTTCTGTTGTAAACCGCCGCGAGTCCCCTCAAGGAGATAGGGCGGTATAGAAATAAAGTTTATTATTAAGCTTATTATTCATGACTAAGAACTGTGTGCAGGGTGCAAGCACTAAAGAAGGGCAGAAGGGCAGATTTCAGGCTGGGTATTTTACTAGATTTCTGAGATCCACTGGCTAAATCCTGTACAAAAAGACATAACTTTTTACACTGAAGAATTCTGAGAACAGAAAGGCTGTTATTTTCATTGATTTCAAATCAATGAAAATAACAGTCTTTCTTACACAAGAATCTATTCCCAGTTGCCCCAAGCTTTCTTTTATTGCAGTATAATTTTAGAAAGGGGTCAAAGAATAAGTTTGTTCCTGGCACTACAATAAACTTTGAAATCAATTTATGACCTTCTACCAGCATAGAGTTACTAGTTGACTTAGATCTACTATCTTTCCATTCCCACTCAAAAGCTTGATACAATTTCCATTCTTCTCATAATTGACTCTGAAATTGGGCTTTTTTTTTTTTTTTTTCCGTGCCAAGTACTGCAAATTGCTACCCAACAGAGCAATCCTGACAAGGTCAGAGAACTAGAACAGGCTTCCTTTTATGCATGATTAAGTTTCCAGCTCTAACCCGTCACCCTAATGCACTGTCTTGGTGCAGTTTCTTTGGTAGTTACTGCTGCCAATATAGTGGAAAAACAGGCTCACAGCAAGACCCCAGGACGCAAGAAAAGCTCAATGAATTGGGTCTTTTTGTCACACCAGATTCTTAGGATTACACATACCTTCCTCTGAAGTGCTTAGCAAGGCGGTGTAGATTTTTCTCAGTTCCTCAACATATTGATTATATTCCACATTCACCGTTCTTCCTGTATGTTCAATGGCTGCCATAATTTGCTGAAAACAAAGCTCAGTCACATCTAAGGGCATTGCCTGTCACAAGGAGAAAGAGTAATTAAATTATTGCTGGAATGATACAGACTGCAAATCGCATCCAGATTTATTTTATTTTACAGTACTTTATTGTAGATAGATTTATACCTTGTCCATCAACTGTAGCTTTACAAACTGGAAAACAATTGTGTCACTGGACAGATATGAATGGACATCTATAATGGTATGTGACCTTACAATACCACTCAGCATAGCTCTCAGGTTTCTTGAAGTGTTTTTTACAAACTAGATGGGTTTGTTTCGGTTGAAAGACTTATTTTTAAAATCTGGCCTTTTGCAACTCTGGCAATTTCCAGTTTTGTAAGCTGACCCTTTCCCATTCATCTTTCACCAAGACCTGTTGAAATACGAATAGACAATTCCGTTTCGCTTAAGTGTTTTCCTTCTTTCTCAAGGGCAGCGGTGTTAATCTACTGCAGGAAAAAGGCGTCTTCATGATTAGCAAAATTATTATAATGTTGAGATTTCATGGTCTACAATTCATATCAGAGATCAGTGGTTCTCAACTTGTGAGTACCCAGATGTTTTGGTCATTAACTTCGAGAAATCCTAACAGCTGATAAACTGACTGGGATTTCTGGGAGTTGTAGGTCAAAACATCTGGGAACCCACAGGTTGAGAACCATTTTCATAGATGCATGAAATGTTGTTCATAATCTAGGGTATGGATTGAGACAGTGAGGTTATTAGGAAGTGAAATGCAGAAAGGAATGACAGCAACCACTACAATGGTCGCTTCTAAAACTGTTACTGATAAGTCCAACATCCTGGTATTAGGTAAGTTAATTAGCACATGAAATGTGATAACAATCCACTCTGCTCAGTGAAAATAGTGTCGTAAACACAATAGAGTCAACTAGAGCAAGGTTTTTTCTGTGTCAGGAGCAACTTGAGAAACTGCAAGTTGCTTCTGGTGTGAGAGAATTGGCTATCTGCAAGAACATTGCAAAACCGCATTGAGTCGCCGAATTAGGCTGAAAAATGCGGTATAAAAATAAAGCAAATAATAAAACATTGCCCAGGGGACACCTGGATGTTTTACCATCCTGTGGGAGGCTTCTCTCATGTCCCCGCATGGGAAGCTGGGTCTGACAGATGGAGCTCACCCCATCCCCAGATTTGAACCGCTGACCTTTCGGTCAGCAGTCTTGCCAGCAAAAGGGTTTAACCTATTGAACAACTGAGTGCTCCAATTGTATCTATACAGAAGCAAATTCTACTAGTCTCAATAAGAAGACAAGTATGCAAGTTTGCAGTTTCAAAAGTATGACCCAAAAAAGCACACAAAAGTATCTCAAAACAGCTTCACATAAATGATGGAGGAACCATCAAATGACTCAGGTACATTTCAATATTTTTAAATTGACAATACACTCAAACAATGTATCTCAAAGATTCAATTGCTGATATGATGTCTGCATTGCATAAAACTTTTTTATGATGTCTGCATTGCATAAAACTTTTATTTTACGATCTTTATATTGTTTTTATGATGTCTGCATTGCATAAAACTTTTATTTTACAATCTTTAGATGTGTTCAGAATGCATAATGATATTCAATCGATACTACATTAACGTCCACAGCTTCATCCTATAATATCCTGGAATTTATGAAGTTTTGTGAAATACTCTGTCAAAGAGTTCTCATGCTATAGTTTAACAGGGTGCATTAAGAAAGTCTAATTACCCATGGCTTCTACTTTAAAAGTTTCTGAAAATACATAAACCTACCACAGTCAAGTTATTTTGGCACCCAAGGGAGAAAATTCCATGCATGCCTGACCTGCACATCTTGCAGTCAAAATAAAGTAAAATGGAACAAATAATAGGTTGTTGTACGGTCAAGATATCAATTAATCTGATGTTTAAGAACAGAAAACAGAATGTTGGTGGGCAGGAAAAGAGATTTAAAGATGGGCTCAAAGCCAGCTGGAGGTCAGCTGTGACCAGCAATGCTGTAGAATTTGAAGAGGCACAAATGGAGGATGAAAGAGAGAAACGTGCCAAGAGGAAGGTGCATCAAGCCAACCCCAACTGGGACCACCTTCCACCTGGAAACAAATGCCGTCACTGCGGGAGAAGATGCAGATCAAGAATAAGGCTCCACAGTCACCTATGGACCCACTGCCAGTGCACCCATCTTGGAAGACAACGAGGGATCGCCTAAGTAAGTAAGTAAGTAAGTAATCTGATGTTTGAGGTGGCCATGTTACGCAGCCAAATTCCCTTTTTATTTTTATTTTAAGGAAATGTGTTTATTTCCGTGGACTCTTTCATCAAATGATCTGCCAGAATCTCAGAAACCAACTTGTTAAAACAATGTGTGGTCACCAATAATACCTGAAGAATGCTGTGCAGGTTGCTCGCATCATGCTGTTCCTCCTTCAGCAGGGTTTGAAAGGCTCGCTCTATCACATAAAGCATGCAGGACCTGGCACACTGGGACGCTTGAGCAGTCTTGATTTCTTCAATGAATGCTTGGCACACAGACACAGAGAGCAAATCTGGATCAGCAAACATGAAAACTCTGGGGAAATAAAAAGGGAACATTATATAATGACCAATTGTTAACAGGAAAGAATGCAGGTGTAAAAGAGAACATAGGAATCAGCTTGAGCTGAAAGGACTGAACTCAAATTGAAAATGAAGATGCAAGAAACATTGCCACTCATGCTTTGAACACTATAAACATCCAGGTTTTTGAATTGCCTGCCATAGGCCAAGACTAGGAATTATGCAGCCCCCCAAAGGTTGCTCTCTCCAACTCCCAGGAGCCTTTAGCAGTGCAATTGTACTGTTGGGAGCTGCAGTCCAATCATACCTGAAAGGTTGAATGGCTGCCATAGCACTCAAGAGCCTTGGAGGCAGACAACAAGGGAACCTGCCTTTGGCCAGATACTGGATCAACTAGAAATTCCAACAGAGGTGTCCTCTCAGGTTGAAAATAATCTTTCATTCACTATTTTTCATTCCACTTTCTTGGGGGCCTTGCAGCCTAACCTCAGTGAATATGGAAGAATGACTATAATAAAAAACAACAACTAAGAAGTAACACATTACTAACCTGAAGAAAAATTGCTTTAAATAACACTACATGGTGCACACTTAACCCATTCATTCTTTTAAAAAAAAGCATTTTAATCTCTGATCCTTTGCAAAATATCTTCGCTACACAGAGGTACCTAAAGTACATGCCAAATATTTGCCAGCAAGACAGGCATGGAATTTGGTCCTCCATTGTAATCTCAAAGAGATCTATTTTAGTGGAGAGTTAAAATGGCACATTTAACAGCCATATAAGGAACCCAATACTTACTTTTCCTGATAAGGAAATGAATTATTCTTGAGACTTTGCTCTGCAGAGACCATTCGTTGGTACAATACACCTAAAGGAACAATACATAAACAGAGATACATAAATAGAGATATCAAAGTTTAAAAGTCATATGGTTTGACTCTTGCGTCATTAGCAGAACCGATAATGGTATCGGACAATAGGTTTAAAGGGAGATCACACTGAAAATGAAAGACAAAGACTGCTTCATACCATGAATTGAAAAAAGCAGTCCTAGTAAAACCAATGAAGATTCAAAAGGAAGTATTTCTTGTAGACATCAAAAGCTATGCAGAAATTTCTAGAAGTTTCCCAAAAGTCATTCCACACAATGGCAATGAAGGTGGAATGCAACTTATAAAGATTCTGGCTAAGCAAATCCTCTGAACAGCATAGAATCTCTTTGCATGAAAACTTGTTGTGTGATCTGGGGGTAGCATCTCCAATATTCTTGATGGTCAAGCAACTCAATTGGTTGCCGGGGTCATTTTGTTGACTTCCATCATAAAGAGTACATGTAAAACAGTTCATGAAGTTGCAGAGGTCAGCTATATGCTATTTCCAGGTAGGTACATACAGTAAGGACCATTGATGGCTTGTGTGCAGTTTTCTAGATCTGGGTGTTACCAGGAAAGTTAACAGAAAATCCACAACCACTTGCAGTAGTTACATGTTGAATGAATTTGAGAGCTATTCCCTTTAATAATTGGGGTTTTCTTGAAGTAAGGATCAGAAAAAGCTAGGTAAATCAAATATGAGAGATTCCAGTGAATGATAGATAACACAGCACAACAAAACAATATCTTGGTGTCTTAGTTTTTAGGTCTGTTCCTGGATTTATTTGGCATGCTGATTCAGAAAATTGCATTGGAGATACCACATCAGCTCTAGTTTCTTATATATGTTATCATGGTTTTCTGTGGGGGACCAGGTGGCGACTGGTAGATGGCATATGTTCTGCATCTGAAAAACTAGAGCTGAAAGGGGAGAACTGGTGCCATTTTTTAAATTCCCATGTGAAGTATACCCAGAAACAGGGTCAACATTAGAGGCTGATTGGTCCAGCTTTGTTGACCTGCATTTGGTGCAGCTAGCTAGATAGTAGGGACTCCCTGAGCCAATTCAGAGGCAGCTCAGGGATTCCTATAAGGATGCAGGGCACATCCAGTGTTCTGGATGCCCTATCAGCCCTGCATCATGTGTCAATGCAGAAGGACCCCAGGACAGGATACTTTTTTTTGTTTGTTTCTCTACTGGTCTGGATTACAGAACTTGGAAGAAACAAAACACCACCCATCCATTCCATGCTCCTCAGCCACCAAGGAAATGACTAAACTATTGTTGAAGGCTTTCATGGCCAGAATCACTGGGTTGTTGTAGGTTTTTCAAGTTGTATGGCCATGTTCTAGAAGAATTCTCTCCTGATGTTTCACCTGCATCCATGGCAAGCATCATCAGAGGTTGTGAGGTTTTCACAACCTAAAAAGCCTACAACAACCCAGTGACTAAACTATGGTGAGAGGACCATGGGATGCTGCTCACCTGGCATCATCCGTTCCAGCTTTAATTGCCGAGCATACTCCAGGCCAATAGTGCAGTAAGGTTTGGGCAAAGTGAGAAGCTTCTTGCAGAAATCATATACCCGCTCATAAAGCTCATCAGGAATGCAGGGGGCCTGCAGCATAAAGAGTAAACATGTAAGTCAAACCATTTAATCTGGACTTCCACTGCAAACCCTCAGACTCCATGTTTCAGCAAAGTAACTCAGATGTCATCAAATGAAATGAGAGAATGGGCCTTTTTGCTTATTCATGCTTCCTGCTTGATGGTATTTGGATTCAGCACTCCAATTCACCCCCCCCCCCCAAAAAAAGGTTCAGTCAAGTTTCATGCACTGTTGTTCACAGAGCAGCTGCACAGAATAAACACTTCTTAAATTTTGTTTTAATTAGTCATTAATTTCTAGGACTTTAGGAAATCTTGAGTTAAGTACTTTACTAAAACAACCCTCCGCTTCCCTGCATTTCTTTCACCTGAGGATGAAAAAAACTCCAGTCTGGAAGCTTAAGGAAATCCACAGCACTGAATACTTCAACAAATACAACTGTGTTTCATTGTTTCTTATTTTTTCACTGGCTGGAGATTTTAAATGTAATGATCTGATTAGAATGCATACAGAGCAAAATGGGGAAAATAAATGAACAGTTGATCCTTACAAAAGCTAGGTGAGTTGTGGCAGGCTTGGTACACTGTGAATGAATGCAAACAAAATTCACACTGGAGGAGGAAGACCGTGATAGAGTCCCACCTGCCCATAGGTCTCCTTAGCATACTTAACAACCTCATCAAAGAATCCAGGGATATTGGTCAAAGACTCATAATTGCATGTTTACTGGCAGCTTTCTTTTTTCGAGTTTTTTTCTTGTTAGACTTGGGTTTATCATTTTCTGAGTACGGTTTTGAAAAAGCAGCAGGCTGTAAAGAGCAGGAAGTGGCCTATTCAGGGCTTGGATCTCAACCAGTCTTGGTTTCCATCTTGAGAGATAGGTGCAGAATGAATTCAACAAATAAATAAATGAATAGAGTCTAAGGACAGCATATGTGTTGAAGCAGACCGTTTGAAAAGGCAGTAGTGGGATCTCAGTCACAAGAAAGTCAAATAAAGAGAATACCTCTAAGCATGTGCAGATTTCCAAGCAGGGTTCAGCTCTGGATTATTCTAAAAGGAGTGAGCAAAGTGTGATGCTCCAGATGTTGCTGCACTCTGTCTCCAAACATTCCTCAACATTGACTCTCTAGGCTAGGGCTAATTGAGTTGGAATCCAACAACATCTGAACAGACGTACTTTGTCCACCCTTGATTTACATAAAATACTACTGGGTCTTTATAAAGACAACCACTGTGTCAGCTTTACCCTGTTCCTTGCCCAACCCTGCAGCTTCAAATATAAGGATGTCAATAGCCTATTGTAGTGTAACAGAAATGCCTACTTACAAGCAGTCTGTTATTAATCTGGATTCCAATATGTGTCTTTTTTATATTATTTTCTTTTTTCTATTATTGAATTTTTAAGGACAATGGGAAACATTCTTTATAAATTATGAATAGAGAAGTAAAAGAAAGCACGGGCATTCATAAATGATCTCATTCTATCAATTGTGTTTCAAATTTCCAGCACACCGTGATGCTAACCAGTGTGTAATCATTCCTAAAAAGATGTGCTAGTGCTTAATCCTGTCACATCATTTTCGATTACAAGCTCTGTTCTACAATCTCAAGAAGGCCAATGGTCTCTCCATGGTGAGACTTCACACTTTTTACTATAGTATTACGCATTTCCAGAACTCAGAATAAATTCCAAGGCCCAGCACAGACTTAAAACTTAAGGTTTGGTGATTGATAACAATGTGAGCTGGCACATTAACCTCAGCACCGAAGTCCTGGGATGCTATGGTAGTATGTTGGCTCTTACCTTTATCATCGTGTACATCAGTGTGTGAAGCAAGGGGATAATATAATGCTGGTAGTTACATCTTTCTGCCTGGAGAAAACAAATGGTTGTGTTCAAGATTGTCTAACAAAGGGAGGCAGAATTTGGATCTTTTGTCAGCATTGAAGTTCATGAAGCAGCAGTACAATCAAGAGCAATGATGATCTTGAAAACACAGTGGCTTTGCTATTCTGTTGCTGAGTATGCATGCCCAGTATGGAACACATCTCATGATATCAAAACAGTAGATGTGACTCTTAATGAGACATTCCACATTATCACAGGATGTCTACGCCCTACACCACTAGAGAAATTATACTGTTTAGCCAGTATTGCACCAACTGACATCTTCCTGGAAGTAGCAGCCAATAATGCAAGGACCAAGGCAGTGAGGTCTCCAGCCTATCCACTGTTCGGATATCAGCCTGCACACCATTGCCTCAAATCAAGAAATAGCTTTCTAAGATCTACAGAGATACTCGCAGAACCACCTCAGCAAGTGAGAGTCCAAAAGTGGCAGGCTCAAACCTGGAAACTCAATCAATGACTGATACTGGATGAGAAACTCTTCCTTGGGCATACAGAAGACTGGGCAACTTGGAAGGCGCTGAACAGACTGCGCTCTGACACCACGAGGTGCAGAGCCAATCTTCAGAAATGGGACTACAAAGTGAAATCCACAACATGTGAGTGTGGAGAAGAGCAAACCACAGACAACTTACTACAATGCAGACTGAGCCTTGCCACATGCACAATGGAGGAACTTCTTACAGTGACACCAGAGGTACCCCAAGTGGCCAGCTTCTGGTCAAAGCATATTTAGTATAATGCCAAGTTTTTAACTTTGTGTTTTTAAATACATGATAACTGTACCTTACATTTGCTTCTGGCACAATAAATAAATACCCCAGTGGAAAGCAATACTAGACAGGTCTTTCCTAAGTCAAAAGCAATGAATCTAACTATACTCAATGACAATTATAATGCAACCCCTGCAGAAGTCCTTGGAGAGAATAAGCTCTATAAAATGATTCAGATTCCCATGGAGTCACTCACTAGCCTTGGACAAAACACAGTAGTCATTGGGTGGATCTACGCCATAGAATTAATGCAGTTTGACTCCATTTTAACTAGCATGGATCAATGTTATGGAATCATGGGAGTTGTAATTTCACAAGATCTTTCACATTCTCTGCCAAAGCATGCCAAACTACAATTCCCAAGATCCCATAGCATTAACCCAAGCCAGTTAAAATGGACTGAAACTGCAATAATTCAATTTGCTACAATTATAAAATGGGAATAGCAACTGTCATTATGATGGCCACCAAAAAGTCAATTAAAGAGAGAAATGAGCAAAGGCCAGCAAAGCACTTTGTGTAATAACTGTTTTATAACTTGCCTATAGAGAACACAAATGTGTCATTGATTCTTTTCATAAGTGGAAAGAGGTTAGTTTTTGTTTTAAGGAAACTAACAAAAGGCAGTGTTGTATGTATACATTCTTTTTTCCCACTGATCTCTCAGCTCAAATACATTTTGAAGGTTTGGAAAGCACTGCAAAATCCCTATAGCCTCTGTTTAGAACAAAGTATGCATCTTCTGACCCTGATCAAGTCGAAGTTCAACAGCAGAGAGAAGTCACAAGAAGGTTTGAGACAAACATTGTGGGACACTTTCTTTTCTCAAGGAATAAGAATTTAGTTAGCTCTATGTATGTCACTCTCATCTTCAATCAAGAATAAGTGCATTTGATCAGATGTTGCCATTGAGACTTTTAATTTTCAGCCATGCAGTGCTATTCTGAACCAAATGCAAGCAAAATGAATGAGAAGGCTTGTCAATAACATCCTTAAAAAGGGCCATACCTTTGACAAAGCAGGAAAAATAGAACATCTCCATGTGTTCGTTGAACTGCAGTGCAAGGCAACATTGACTTTTCTATATAGACTGACACAAAACCATCAAATTACCTCTTTAAAACCAGCAGAATGAGAGCTGAGCAAGAAATCTGTTCAGGAGAAAATGTGTCCTTAAGCCAACAGATATGCTCTCAAATATTTTTTCCCTGCTATAGATCATTCTTACCCTTTCCAGCTCTTTCACCAAAATTTTGATCAAGATGGCTCCGTTGCTGGGATTTCTATCAATTTTCTTGTGCAAAGTCCATCGTAACATCCCTGTGAGAACAAAACCAGAACAACTGTCAAAGCTTTATCCAGCAGATGAGGAATCCATGAGAACGGATTGGGATTGGGGTTGGTTTATATTACACACCTTTCATTAAGCACTTGCTTTTGCAAAATTGATCAAGCACAACCAATCAGGTTAGTTTCTACAATATTAATGTTTTTCCCCAGGCCCTCTATACAAAGTTGCACTTTCAAAATACATTATCTGGCATTGCACCTACAATCAAAAGCGATGATGTCCTTGAAAATAAAGGGGCACCCCAGTGGGAAACAGTGCCAGGCAAGTCTCTCATTCTTGTGATTCCCATAAATTGAAGTCAATTTGACTGCATTTAATGATAACAATGAAATCCTTGAAGACCTTTGCGAGAAGAGACTTTATGAAATGGTTCAACTTCCCATGGGGTCACTGACTGGCCTTGGACAACACACAGTCATCATTTATCTACACTGAAAAATTAATGCAGTTTGACAGCACTTTAGCTGCCATGGCTCAATGCCTTCAAATCACAGAAGCTGTATTTTTATAAGGTCCTTACTTAGCCTTCCCTGCCAGTGTTCAGGTGCCTCACCAAATGACAGATCAAAGGATTTCATAGCACTAAGCCATCTTTATTAAAGTGGTGTAACACTGCATTAATTCTACAGTGAAGATGCACCCTTGGTGAAGAAGTCCCACCTGACAGACCATTATTTAAGGTGCCAGACCAATGTTTCATCTAGTCCAATGAGAATCTCTCCTTTCATTTAAGCAGAGGACTTTCTGTCCTTTTCTTGTCTGAACAGTCTTAACTAGAGCTATGAACTTCATTCACACACACACACATACGCACGCGCACGCGCGCACACACACACACACATATTATTTCATCTCAAAAGCATTGCATACATTAGCATAACCCAACAATTCTTCCTTTGTACATGAGGCAGGGCATAGTGGACAAGCATACAGATGCGGAGTTGTCTGTTTTGCTCCACAGTCACACAAAGTGTGGGATTCTTTTGGACAACCATTTTGCCAGGTTGCCTTTTGACCTGCCCACTCCACTTCTGAGTCTGTTCAGAGACTTTCAAGTTGCCCATTCTTGGTTTGCCCTTGGAGGAAGACCCTCGTGGGTGGCCATCCAATTGGGATTTCCTGCTTTAGCTGCCCATATGTGTAATGTAATTTTTCCTTCCCACTACCTTTGCTGGCACTAAGGAGGAAACTGGTAAAGGTACACCCCCTGGCATCAAAAGAGGTATTCAAATACCAGAATACAAATGCCAAGGGATTACCACTACAGGTAGCCTACTATTGAGAGTAAAATGTCCCTCTTGTTCTCCTCTGGCAGTAGGTGTGAGATTATTCACACAGTAAAAATTCTCAGGAGTTTGATCATAAGATGGTGAATGGCTTCCACTGCTCTTACCTCTCTCACTCTGGAAGGCTGGATGGTGTCCATCGAGTTCCCGTAGAAGGGCGTGAACACTTCGGAGAAAGTCTGACTCAACCTCTTGATGCATGAGAGAAACACAATGTGAAGAACTAAGGCAAATCAAAGAACAAAGGTAACCTTGTTGACCAAGGGGTGGGGGTGGGGGTTCCATACTAGAATAATACATTTTAGCAGGCCAATTGAAAGATTACAAAATTCCCTGTAAGCTTTCAATGGAAGAAGAAAAAGGATAGTGTTTAAACCATGGAGTGTGATGACTCCATGGTTAAACACTGCACACCTTCATATGAGACACAACCAGGAATTGCGATGGTATCATTGTCTGGCCTGGAGGCTCACATAGCAAACAGTTTCTACCAAACCATAATGTATATATAAACATAAATAAATGTCATGCTTAGACAGAGGTTCCATCTCCAAGATATCTCATTATATGTGTATATCCAAATACAAGTTTTCCAAAACTCTCAAAAATCAAATACGCTTCTTATCCCAAGCATTTTGAATAATAGATACTCAACCTGTAAGGCTGTAGAACAGCAGCATACACACAACCAGTTATCTGACATTATCAGACTTTTTACACTAACCCCTTTCCAGGAGTATGCAAACAACTAGTGATAGTTATTTCCAGTAATAAGCCTACTGCAAGAAAATAGAAAAAAATCTTATTTGCCTATCTAAATATTTATATAATTGATAAAGGGGAGAAGACAAATGTTACATTTTCAGTGACAGTTGGGTAGAGAACTCTGGCAATGGGAGTACACTATGAGTTAGTACTATCTAGTTAAGTTTATAGCTGCTTATTAGCACTGATTTATTCATGTATTTAGCCACAATTCCCTATCAAGATTGCCATGAAAAACCAGCATCTGAAAAAATGGTCTCCAGTACAGAAAGGCATATGCCACAATTAATGTTTTTGGCCTGAAGCTAAGTTAGAGTCAATGGAGTTGAATAAATTAATCAAATGGATTTACTCAGTTTGGGTCTCTACTTGGCAAGATCCATGGTTGTGTGGTAGCTGGGACAACCAATAAGATTCAGGCTTTCATATTTTAGGTAGAGTAATACTCCTGTGCTGCGTGCTTGCCATACCTGATTAATCTTACAACCCCTCTGAATAGTTTGGTGTCAGATATATAAAAGTGATGGGGAAGCAACATCTCATTATTCCAACCAAGACATCTCATGCTTTCGTAGCAAACACAAACCTGGATTCTCCATGATTGAGCAAACGTTACAGTCAGTTGATTTGAGGTTGTCTTTATCCACACATCTGGTTTAGTTACACTCAGCATTGCCATGTATTATGTATTGCTTCTGCAAAAGAATATGATGTCAAAGTGAGACTGTGTTCACCTCAGATTTGATACCAAAGTACATGAAAATACAGAAGCAGAAACACGTTAGCTCAACAAAAAGCAATTAGCGATGCCTATCAGTTGGACCTTTCAATCATGCATTTGTGGAAAAAAAATAGCCCTAGAAATAATACCATACGAAAGCTGGCTGGCACAACCTGGGGATCACAACCAGACACAGTGAAGACATCTGCTCTTGCATTTTGCTACTCTGCTGCTGAATGCTCAATGTGGAATACATCTCACCATGTTAAAACAGTGGATATGGCACTTAATGACACAGGTCACATTATCACTGGATGTATACGCCCAACACTGCTGGAGAAATTATACTGTTTAGCGGGTATTGCACAACCTGACATCCGCTGGGAAATAGCAGCCAGCAATGAAAGGACCAAGGCAGTGACATCTCAGGCCAATCCTCTGTTCGAATATCAGCTAGCAAGCCAAAGCCTTAAATCAAGAAATAGCTTCCTAAGATCTACAGATATAATCACAGGAACACCTCAGCAAGTAAGAGTCTAAAAGTGGCAGGCAAAAACCCGGAATCTCAATCCATGACTGATACCAGATGAGAAACACAGAAGACTGGGTGACATGCACTCTGGTATCATGAGATGCAGAGCTAATCTTAAGAAATGGGGCTACAGGCAGAACAAGGTAGGTAACATATGCAAGCAGACAGTAGTAAGGTAAGGCACTAAGCTTTTGCCCTATACTTTCTCATCTGCTATCTTTAGGTATGGTGGAAGATGTTGCCCCATCAACACTGTTGAAGAAAGGTATAACTGTCAGTCTATCTAATTCAAATGGGAGTGGGATACCACTCTGTTCTCTGCCTCAGGCAGCAAAACATCTTGGGCCAGCTTTGTGTTTTGCAACAAGAACGATCTGGAGTGGTTAGCTGTCTATCCCACACACTACAGACATTCAGGATGCTGCCTGGACATTTTTGAGGATATAGGCTAGACAGCTATCTAAGAGGAATCATCCTCAGGAGTTACTTATGTTTGTTTACGTGTCAAATTTGCATACCATGTTTCCACCCAAATGGCACTCAAGGAAAATATCACAATGTTTTGAAACTTAACTGTGTGTTGCTGTTGTCTTTTTAGTGTATACATAGAATAAAGAAAGTTAGTTGATATCCAAAAACAACATACGAAGACAACTCTGCAGGCAAAAAGTCAACAATAAATAAGAAAGGCCCCACTTACCTAGTATGCCACACTGTGTGTGCAGGAAATGAAGCGTCATAGGAGGTAGCTCACAACACGGCCACAGCCACACCTACAGAGCTCTCAGCCAGGATGCCACCAGGTATCTTCTGAACTTGTAAAACTCCCTCATGTGTGAGAGCATTCCCAGGACAAACTTGCTTTACCTGCCTCACCAGTGTCAGACAATACCTGTATACATGTTAGAAAGAATCAGAAACTGGAATGTGTTGGCTCCACTGCCTGCACCACATGGCACATCTTCTGTCTCATTAATTTCCCTTGTGGGAAGTAAAGCGAGTAAAACTAGGTCACTTGGGTTTTTTTCCCCTTGTTCACAATCATCCTCATTCTCTTTTTCAAAGCAATCGTCTGAGACTAGAGCAGAAGCAGCAAATTTTTCTCTCCCACACACAAAGCCAACAATGTAAAATTCCTTTTTTATGGCTCAGCACTGCACAGGGCTAAAGCATAACACTTGCCTTCTTGTGAGCGTATGAGGCGGGGACACACTCCAAGGATTCCCGTAGTTGTCTTTCAGAACTCACTTCGAAGCCAACCTGAACAGAAGAGCCAGAGATAGTGTGATCAGCAGCTGAACTTTGAGGCCTTTGAGATATAGGTGGTTATGCTCTAGTAGTTGTTTCAATATATGCTAGCCCCTCTTCCTCCCTACTTGCATGCAGGTGCATATATCTGAGTTTCATACTAGTAGCAAGCATCCATGGAGGTAATGACAATTTCTGGAAGGCAGCTGGGTTAGTCTGTTGTGGCAGTTATAGCATATCTTCGGGAAGCATGTTAGTGCTATAAAGCCCTAAACGATTCTGCCCAGCTTACCTGTCTGAACGTATCTCCTCCTATGAACCATCTAGGAGCTTAAGATCATCTGGGGAGACCCTGCTCTCTATCCCGCCTGCATCACAAGCGCAATTAGCAGGAACAAGGGACAGGGCCTTCTCAGTGGTGGCCCCCTGGCTATGGAATTCCCTCCCCAAGGATATTAGATCATCCCCCTCCCTCCTGACTTTCCGAAAGGAGGTGAAAACTTGGCTCTTTGAGCAAGCTTTTGATACAGCGGAATAGGCAACATGAAACTATGGATGATGAACTTGGAATGGCTAGACAATGTTACTGGAAATCGATTTTAACAGGATGACACCGGAGAGATTACATGTTTTATTGGCGCATATATATATATATATATAGTTATGTTGATTGTTTTTAATTGCTCTTTTATGAATGTATGGCATTAAATTGTGCCAACCTGTAACCCGCCTTGAGTCGCCATATGGCTGAAAAAGACGGGCTATAAATATCGTAATAAATAAATAAATATTAAGGGGGAGCTGTCATAACCATGTGACAAAATACAAAAAAAATCATCTGTAGGGCTATTCCAAAGCAAGAAATGCATTAAACAAGCTTTCGAAGCTTTCTAGGCTTTTTCATCAAGCAAAGGTATTCAAAAACGAACAGGTGAAAAATGCTGAAGATGGCCCTCATGAAGATGGCCTACATTCTATTGTCAATTTAATTTGGTGCTGAAAGATTTCAATACAGTTGTATATCCCTTTCTTCAGGCACCATATAGAGCAAGAAAATTAATATGACCCTGAATTATGCAAGGTAGTGCCCACTTCACTGAATGTATAAAAGAATACGATATGAAGTGAACACACCACTACAAAAGCAAATGTTCTCAAAAATGTTCTTCATTGTTCTTAAATCCATTAAGCCACTTACTGGGAGAAAAAGATGCCTTGTTTGTGTGTTTTTAGTATACTGGAAGGTTTAAGAAAAACAAACCCAAACCCATCAAAATGGTTGTGATTCAGGACTCCATACCTAGGAAAGGGGTTTTGTTTTCCCACTTCAATCATTACTTACTTTCTGATAAAAGTTCGGTTGTTCTCCGAGGATGTGGTCAGGCCTAGCATCAAGCAATGAAGCGGCTGCCCTAGGCAACAAATGCTGGAGGTGTGCAAAGTAGCACAAGGCACTGGAGGACACGACATTATGTTTAAAGCAAGCTGGTCTATGCCCCTTAAAGTAGCCGGCATCCCTAAGATACCACTGATGATGTTGCCCAGTAACCATTGCTCAAGAAAGATTCAACTCCTAAACTGCATCTATATGTTGCTATAAAACATCTTGGTCAACTCTGTTTGCGGAGGACATGCACCCAATTAGCACTCTTGCTGCCCAATTTTAAACCCCTAAAGATTTCATTATGGCAGTTTTCTCTTTCAATCACTTCTGGTCTTGGTTTATTTTTTATTTTTTTTGTTTTTTCAGGCCTTTCTGGTGCCAAAAAGTGCCCGCAAGCCTATGGAAGTATGATTTAGGGCCAAAAATGTAGGAATAGTGTTATGTGCTAAGGGAGTCAGAGGCAACACAATTTCTATTCCTGGTAATATCTGCTAGTACTATATCCTCCAGTTGACCCAACTTGGCAGGGACAATTCCAATTAATCTTCTCCCACCCCATTTTTCAGCTGCCACAGCTTCTCTGTCTCCCACTTTACCTCTTTGTACTCAGTTTACATCAGTAGATGCAAACTGTGTTCCAAGCACAGAAGTAGTTTGCAGTCCATTGACTCAGTCGAGGAGGGAGGGGAATGTAGTAGTCTTGTCCTTCCAGGAACTTAGATTCAGTCAAAAACTATTTGTTTCAGACTTTCAGGGTTTCTGCATTCTTTTTCATTATCTCTTGCTACTTAATGCTGCTTGGCCACATGGTTTTCATCTGTGAAACATGTTGTTGCTCTTGTGTGACTTCAAGTCATTTCCAACTTATAGCAACCCAAAGGTGAACTATCATAGGTTTTATTTTGTTTCTCTCTCTCTTTTTGTAATAGTTGTTCAAACGTGATTGGCCTTCCTCTGAGAGGATATGGCTTGCCCAAAGTTATCCAGTGGATTTGTATGACTGAGGGCACTTGCAGGCAGGGCTTGAATCCACAATGAAGCAGGTTTAAGAAACCTGCTTCATCATGGGTTTAAGTCCCCATGCATGCCCAAGAGAACCGGGCTTTCCCGGTTGGGTGTCCACATGCCATCCCAGTAACTTCTGGGATGACATGGTGCCACCCAACCTCCAACCCCCAAAAGCCTTAAAATAAAAAAAAACTTACTGGGCTGCCTTGCCACTCCTAAGCCAGGCCTCCTGGCACATAGAAATGATGTGCCAGGAGGCAAAGGGAAAGCAATTTTCCACCTGGACACCCCCCCCCCCTCACCTCCTGATGCATCATTTCTATGCACCAGGAGGCCTGGTGAAGGAGCAACATGGCAGTCCGCTAAGTATTTTTATTTTAAGGCTGGGGGCGGGATTGGGGGGTGCTCTTTTCAGTTCTCCAGGCCCCTGGAGCCCGCAGAACCAAAATGGGCTATGGGGTATGGGGACTGACCCCTAAGTCTAGGGCCCATACCACATTATACTCGGGTCTTTCAGGAAAGTCCAGATCTAATGGGCTATTTGATTAATTCAGGACAAAGCAGGATTTATTCTCTTTTACCGGAGGCATCATTTGGACACCTCCGGTAAAAGTCCAACAGAGCATGCTGAGGGGGGTTTGAATCCTTATCTCCAAAGTCCAATGCTCAAACCACTATAATATATTAAGAGTTTAGGGGGTATGTAACACCACTGGTTAACAAACAAGTGAAAAGAGCATTGGGCTATCTCTGGAAATCTGTGACAATTACGAGTTATATATTTCAAGCAAATCTGACACACTCCTAATTTCTGTAATGCTGTGCCTTTAGGTATTAAAAAAGCCTCTGGGTTTATATAAGAAATTTGTGTGTCACAGTTCGCCCAGACCTTGCCTCCTACATTGGCAATTCCTAGAATGTTCTTTTTAAGAAAAACATAGTAACATGTTGAGGCAGACTATAATCAAAGAATAGTAAGAAAATGCTCTGACTCCCAGGGCATCAATCTGTGACTGTTCAGTTACGGATGGCTTCAGAATGTCAATAAGTCTCTTCTGCTGAAAAGAAACTTTCGAATACTTGTACCTTGGGGGCTGAATGTTTCCTTTCCTGTCAAATGGTCAGCTCAGCATCATTCAGCAACATAAAATAACATGACCTGGTGGGGAAACAACACTAAAAGAGACCTTTGCCACTCCACAATTTCCGTTTTTCTATTTTTAAGACCCCCGTGCAGGCAGAAGTGGTTGTAGACAGCCTGACTTCCTCTTCACACCTTCCATACAGAAACCACACATAAACTCCTGCCCACAGAGCTCTCATGTTACTCGGTTCTTTCATGGTAAAAATGAACTGAAATCTGCCTCAAGTTGATTACATGATGCCTGAAATACAGCACGGAACTAGTAAACAATGAAGCAACCAGGGGAACATTTCTCAGCTTTCATGGTCTGGGAACAATGCTATGTTACAAAAAAGACTTTTTGAACTTTATTTTTTATCAATGTCTTTGGTTGATTAAATTTGGTTTATCTATAAGACTCTCTGAAAAGAGATAATACAGAGTGGTATGGGATTCTTTAAAAAATAAATGAGAAAATAGAATATGCCACCATTGGCCTGCTTGTTCCACACTTGCCGAACACCTACTACTTTCCACGACCACGATAAGTGCAAAGAGTCTCAATGATTCTTTTGAGCAACCCTAGCACTTAACAATATTTCAGCAGATCCCTGAGAAGCAAACTTAGCATGAATGCAAAATAGATATCCATCTGTCAGATCATTACTGCCAGAAACCTAAAAATAGTTATTTTGGAGGAAGGAAGGAAAAAAGGAAGAAACTTTGAAAGAAGGATAGCAGCTTCTATTTCCTAAAGCAAATCTTAAGACCTCCAAAATTAGGAACACATTGTGATTTGAAAGCAAAGAACAAATCACATGGATTTCAGAAGAGTATTAGCTGTATCACCCAGCATTCCTTAGGAGAATCATCAAACATTATTGAATTTTAACTGTTCTGAAGCCTGAGAAGCAATTTCTTTGGATGGTCCTAAGACTCTCCTTTTAAACATCTATATATATATAAAAATGGAAAGGGCGTTCAACGGGACAGCAAAACGCGAAAAAACCCCAACGAAAACTCACCAAATTTGCCGTGCACTTACCTCAACCCACAAGGTATGCACAACGCGAATCAAAATTCCAAACAACATTTCAACAAACTCACAATTATAAAAAGCAACTGAGCATGCACAGTGCCCAGGGGAGGAAGTACACACACAATGCACTCTAGGAACTGTAGTTCTAGAACATGGCCTACCCGCTGATGCTGAAGCCCCGGCTTGGGAGTTGGAGCTCAGCCGGGTGTGCTCGCTGGGGGCCAGGATGCTGCACGACTTGCGGAGGCTGCCCRGGAGGCCCCCGCTGCGCGCCTTCCTGGCCTGGCCGGGAGAGGCCGCA